AGTTCAGAATCACTGTTCTAGAGAGCCTCATTTCCATGGTTTTAAAACATTATTCTCATGTAGAACAGCGTTGGGACTCACACTGTTAATGATAACAGGTAACACTGTTAATGTTAACAGGTACTCATACTGTTAATATTAACAGACAATGTTACTATTAACAGATAAGAGAATTTGCTCCAGTTGCCCAAACTTTATATACTTCAATTTTAATGACAAGCATTTCAGAAGTACAAAAGTGGCAGCAAGACCAACCAGTTTTTCTAGCTATCTTGATGTGAACCTGACCCTCCTCATTTAGAAGCCAGCCTGTTCATGTTTAAACAGCTTTAATCCAAACTGTTTTATGACTATTGTTTCAAGAGACGTTAACACTGATCTGTAAATACGAATGTCGGTGGACAAGTAAGTTTGGGAAATGTGGCATACTGTATCCTTTTCTTAACATTTGCATATTAAAGACTCCGAGATATCTTGTAGTAAAGACACAATATATGGTGTTTAAATTAACATGATATCGTATTCTGCAGAACATTGGTTTTGAAAAAGCTGTTGAGCAGTTCTTCCTTGTGCTAAACTTCCTCTCTGACACCTCCTACCATTGTTTTTTTTCCCTCTGTAGCTAATAAGAATAAGTATAACCCCCTTTTTCATGTGGCAGATGTTTAGCTATTTGGGAAGAACTTTCATGGTTCTTCCCTAATCATCAATACTCAAGGTAAAGATTCATGGTTCCTGTAATGGTTCCTCACCTGGCATAATTTGTCCTTTTACCGTCCTACTTTTTCTCTTCTGAAAAACACCCTTTATCTGAAATACAGCAATTAATATTAAGATACCTTAATATGAAATACCTGGAGCCAAATACAACATTTCAAAGTAGTCTGACTGGAAGAACTAGCCCCTGCCTTTCTTCAAACAATGCACTTCTGTTAATGCCCTTCGCTGAGTTACTATTGGAGAAACAAAGATGAATAATCCTATGTTCCAACAACTTGACACCTCTAAGCTTTCTTAATCCCCACAGAAATTCTGTGGGGTAGGAATCCTCTCCTTTGTACTAAGGAGGAAGCAGAGGGTAAGTAATGTTAGGTAACTCACCTGAGGTCATATGACTCTGATAGTGGAGCCAGCATTTGAATGCATGTCTTTTGATTTCAAATCCTACCTTCTCTCCAGGAGCACTGGCACCCTGTGAGAGCAATTCCAAAGTGCTGACTCTGTTGCTTGCCCGTGTTACCTTGGTTACCTTGTGCCCCTGAGCCAGCTGCTTGCCTTCTCAGCTTTCTTTTTTTTTTTTCTTTTTTCTTGCATTTTAGGTTTTGGGGTACATGGCCTTCTCAGCTTTCTTATCTGTAAACTGGGGTAATATCTAGTGCCTACCTCCCAGGGTTGTTGTTGTGGTTTTATTTTTAATTAAAAAAAATTTTAAAAAAAAGATGAATAATCCACTATACCTGCTTATCTTCACTGTCAAGATCCTGGAGACTTCAAAGGCCTTAAGGAAGTAATGATGTAGTGAAGAAGAGCAAGAAGGACAGTTTGACAAGAGTAAGGGGCAAAGAGGTAAAAGATACAGTCAGAGGAAGGTAGGGATCAGATCATGTAGGGTCTTGTCACCATTGTAAGCCATTTTGATGTTATTCTAAGTGACTTGTTAAATCATTGGAGGTTTAGAACGTGAGAGTGACGTAATGTGATTCTCTGTTTAAGATTACTTTGGCTGATGAATGGAGAATTATCTATAGTCAGGAAGGAAAAGAAGTAGGGAGTTCAATTAGGAGGCTTTTGCAATAGTTCAGGCAATAGATGGTTGTGACTTGGAAAAGGGGATAGCAGTGGAGGTGGAGAGAAATGGTTTGACTTGGAATTAAACTTTAAGCTAGAACTGACAAGATGTGAGTGTAGTTTGGATACACAATTTAAAAGAAAGAAATCAGCCAGGTGTGGTGACTCACACCTATAATCTCAGTTCTTTGCAAGGATGAAGGAGAAAGATTCTTTGAAGCCAGGAGTTCAAGACCAGCCTTGACAACATAATGATACCCCCTCTCTACAAAAAAACAAAAATAAAAAAATTAGCCAGGTGTGGTGGTGTGCACCTGTAACCCTAGCCTCTCAGGAGGCTGAGGCAGAACGATTCCTTGAGCCCAAGTGCTTAAAGCCACAAAGAGCTATGATCACACCACTGCACTCCAGCCTTGGCAATAGGACCCTGTCTCAAAAATGAAGAGAGAGAGAGAGACAGAAAGAGAGATAAGGTCTTAGCCTTATTTTACCCAACCCCTATTCAAGATGGAGTTGCTCTGGTTCAAATGTCTCTGACAGAATAGGCAGTGAGGGTGGCATTACATTCCACAGTTGGGGAATTTGTGTAGTGTCCAACAGGTATATACATCCCATTAGTAGGTAACTACAGTTATTTAAGAATAAAATTAAAATATGATTTGTCTTTTATGTTTATATTTTTTTCCAAATGGCTACTAAGTTGTTAGCACATTAAGATGTTGTTTGGATCTACCTATTTAATAAATAGAGCCATTGAGTATTTCTTTTGGCCTAGAGGATAAAATAGTTACTGAGACACAAAGAGACTCAAGAAAGGGGGAACCTCTGATTTAGTTTCATGAAAGGCTGAAAATTTTGACAGCAACGAAACTTTATATTCAACATTGTAGGCCTCATACATGTTTTTAGATAATGCAATATAGAGAACAAAAACAAGAAACAGGAGGAGGAGAGGGAAGGAAAGGAGGAAGTAGTAGAATAAGAATGAGCAGGCCAAGCACGGTGGCTCATGCCTGTAATCCCAGCACTTTGGGAGGCCAAGGTGGGTGGATCACGAGGTCAGGAGTTCGAGACCAGCCTGGCCAAGATGTTGAAACCCCGTCTCTACTAAAAATACAAAAATTAGCTGGGCGCGTTGGCACGCACCTGTAATCCCAGCTACTCAAGAGGCTGAGGCAGGAGAATCACTTGAACCTGGGAGGCAGAGGTTGCAGTGAGCTGAGATTGCACCATTGCACTCCAGCGTGGGTGACAGTGTGAGACTCCGTCTCAAAAAAAAAAATGACTATTAAGTGAGCACTTGCTAAGTTCAAGGATTGTGCTAAGCATTTTACCCACAATAATATTTTTCAATCTTAAGGCCTGTACCATCATAGTACATACTGGATTTTCTGTTCTCCTTAGTGAAACAGCCATTACCCAAAGCGCTAAGTGCTCCTTCATTACCTTGGCAGCCCTGTGCCTTTTCTGCCAGGCACCCCCTAGACTTCCCTACAAAATAGCAATTTAATGAGCCAAACAGGGGACCTTTGTGACCTTGCTCCAGCACCACGGCTTATGTTTGTTATACTTAATTATTGTTTGGCCTTCCTAATGTTAAAATATTTAGCATTCCATACTTGTTCAGTCCTCACAGCAGCACCTTTGGGGATGCAGATTTCAATGGCCGAAAATATATCTTGATCTTGCAGACCATTTATATTTTTCTTGATGTGAGAGATAATCCTAAATATGAGGAGATCTTTCTCTGAAGTTTGATCAGCTGACATAAATTATCCAATTTTTACACACTACCTAATATTTCTTCAAATTTTTAAAATCAAATATATATTTTGCAAGAGGCAAATCTGTGTATGTGTGTAATGTAATGTAATATAATGCCTTGAGTTATCACTTTAAAAAAGCTGTATAAGGAGATGTACTCAAAAACACTATAGATAAAACTAATAGGATGCTTAAAAAATAAAAAGTTCACATAACCCACAGGAAGGCAGAAAAAGGCAAATAGAGAGAACATGCAGAAAAAAATAAAATGGCAAACATAAGTCCTAACATATCAGAATTACATTAAACGTCAATGGGGCTGGGTGCAGTGGCTCATACCTGTGATACCACCACTTTGGGAGGCTGAAGTGGGAGCAACACTTAAGGCCAGGGCTTCAGGACCAGCCTGGGAAAACTAGCAAGACCTTAACTCTATGAAAGAATAAAAAAATTTAGCCAGGCATAGTGGTGTGTGCCTATAACCCCAGCTACTCAGGAGGTTGAGGCAGAAGAATTGCTTGGGTCCAGGAGTTCTAGGTTAGAGTAAGCCATGGTCACATGACCGCACTCCAGCCTGCACTCCAGACCCTGTCTCAAAAAAAAAAAAAAAAAGTCAGTGGGTTAAGTATCCCCTATTAGCAGGCTAAACAAGAAAGATTACATGATCATATTAGTCAAAGCAGAAAAAACAGTTGACAAAATTTAACATTCATGATTAAAAAAAAAAACTTTCAGGAAAAACAGGAATAGAAGGGAACTGCCTCAAACTGGTAAAGAGCATCTACTAAAAACATACAACTAATAATAAACAATGTTTATAGATGTTGGTGCAGATGTTAAAAGGGAATTCTTATACACTACTGGTAGAAATGTAAATTAATATAACCTTTATGGAAAACAGTATGCAAATTTCTAAAGAACTTTAAGTAGATCTATCATTTGACCCAGCAATCCTACTCCTGGGTATCTATCCAAAGGAAAAGAAGTCATTATGTAAAAAAGACACCTACATTGATATGTTTATCATGGCCCAATTCACAATTGCAAAGATGCAGAATCAACCTAAATACCCATCCATGAGTGGATGAGAAAATGTGAGATGATAGATAGATAATCTAATATAGATATATAATGGAATACTACTATTCAGGCATTAAAAAGAAAATAGCATTTTTTTGCACAACTTGGATAGAACTGAAGGCCATTATCCTAAGTGAGGTAACTCAGGAATGGAAAATAAAATGCCATTATGTTCTCGCTTCTAAGTGGGACCTAAGCTATGGGTATGCAAAGCTATACAGAGTGCTATAATGGACTTTGGAGAAGGGATAGGGTGGGAGAGGAGTAAGGGATGAAAACCACCTGTTGGGTACAATGTGCAGTATTTGGGTGTTGTATACACTAAAATCACAGACTTCACCACTGTACAATTCATCCATGTAAGCAAAAATCACTTGTACTCCTAAAGCTATTGAAACTAAAAATATTTTTTTAAAGAGAAATGGCACAGAAAGTAGAGTTTTCCAGAGAGGCAATGCAAGATGGCTGAACAGAAGCCTGCACTGATTGTCCTCCCTAGAGGAACACCAAACTGAACAACCATCCACACAAAAAAGCACTCTCATAAGAATGAAACATAAGGTAAGTGATCACAGTAATTGCACTGACTTCATATTACTGAAAGAGGAACTGGAGAGGTGTTGAACTGCTGTTGCCACCCCTCCCCTACCCCCTGGCAGTGGCCACATGATGCAGAGAGAAAATCTGCACAGGAGCCAGTCTTTCCTGTGCTATTCTTGTGATAGTGAATAAGTCTCATAAGATCTGATGGGTTTATCAGAGGCTTCTACTTTTGCTTCCTCCTCATTTTTCTCTTGCTGCTTCCATGTAAGAAGTGCATTTTGCTTCCCTCCATGATTCTGAGACCTCCCCAGCCATGTGGAACTGTAAGTCCAATTAAACCTTCTTTTCTTCCCAGTCTCGGGTATGTCTTTATCAGCAGTGTGAAAATGAATTAATACAGAGAAGAATGGAAAAGGTGAATAAATACAGCACCTTCAACTAAAACACCCAGGAATATGCATCAGGACTAATCAAGGAAACAACCCCGCTCGTGAAGAAAAGCAAGGTAGGATGATTGCCCACCTGGGAGATACAGAGCTAGGGGATCCCCCCACCCACCCAGGAAAGCAGTGAGTGAATGTGCATCCCTGGGAACCCACACTTCTCCCATGGATCTTTACAACCCTTGGGTTGAACTCACTTCACCAGGGCCTTCAGTCTGGAGCAATGGGGAGTCTTGGCAAAGCAGCCACTCAGACACAAGGCATCTGGGAGCCTTGGATACTTGGGCTTTCCAGGTTTCACAGCAAAAGTAACTGCAACTCTGGCAAAATGGGAGGTCAGACCCCTGTACATATCTCTAGGAAAAGGGTTGAATACAGGGGACTGAGCAGCAATAGTCTGCAGGTACTTCATAGGACAAGACCCACTGGATTGGAACTCCAACCAGCCACTGATAGCATTGTTGCACCTCACTGAAACAGAGCTCCTAGGGGGAGGGGTAGGCTGCCATCTTTGTCATTTGGCCAACTTAGTGGTTCCAGCCTTTGGGCTTTGGAGAGTCCAAGCCAACTGGGGGCTGAAGTGATTCCCCAGCACAGCATAGCTGTCTAAAAACATAGCCAGATTCCTTTTTTAAACGTGTCCCAATCTCATTCTGCCTCACTGGGCAGGACCTCCAACCAGGGTCTTGAGCCATTCTCACTGGTGTTTTCCGGCTGACAGAAATTTAAAACCTCCCTGGGATGGAGCTCCCAGAGGGAGAGGTGGGCTGCCATCTTTGCTCTTTGGATAATTAATTATTCCAGCCTTCAGGGTTTAGAAAGTCCAAGCCAACTGGGGGATGAAAGTGTTCCCTCAGCAGAGCATAGCTGCTCTGCAAAAATATGGCAAGACTACTTTTTTTTTTTGTAAATAGTTGTTACATTGTGTTTTAAAAATTTATATTATTTTAAAATCGTATTGTTATTTTCTATTTTTTCAAATTATACTTTAATTTCTGGGGTACATGTGCAGAACATGCAGGTTTGTTACATAGGTATACACGTGCCACGGTGGTTTGCTGCACCCATCAATCCATCATCTACATTAGGGATATAAAGGATATGATAGATAATGCTCTCCCTCCCTTAGCCCCTCCACCCCCTGACAGGCTCCAGTGTGTGATGTTCGCTTCCCTGTGTTCATATGTTCTCATTGTTCAGCTCTCACTTATGAGTGAGAACATGTGGTGTTTGGTTTTCTGTTCTTGTGTTAGTTTGCTGAGAATGATGGTTTCCAGCTTTATCCATTTCCCTGTAAATGACATGGACTTATCCCTTTTTATGGCTGCATAGTATTCTGTGGTGTATATGTGCCACATTTTTTTAAAATCCAGTTTATCTTTGATGGGCATTTGGGTTGGTTCCAAGTCTTTGCTTTTATGAACACCACCACAATAAACATACTTGTGGATGTGTCTTTATAATAGAATGATTTATAATCCTTTGGGTATATACCCAGTAAGGAAATTGCTGGGTCAAATGGTATTTCTGGTTGTAGATCCTTGAGGAATCACCACACTGTCTTCCACAATGCTGGAACTAATTTACACTCACCAACAATGTAAAAGTGTTCCCATTTCTCCACATCTTCTTCAGCATCTGTGGTTTCCTGACTTTTTAATAATCACTGTTCTAACTGGCATGAGATGGTATCTCATTGTGGTTTTGATTTGCAGTTCTCTAATGACCAGTGATGATGGGCTTTTTTTGTAGTTTGTTGGCTGCATAAATGTCCTTTTATGAGCAGTGTATGTTCAAATCCTTTGCCCACTTTTTGATGGGGTTTTTTCTTGTAAATTTGTTTAAGTTCTGTGTAGATACTGGATATCAGCCCTTTGTCAGATGGGTAGATTGCAAAAATTTTCTCCCATTCTGTAGGCTGCCTGTTCACTCTGATGATAGTTTCTTTTGCTGTGCAGAAGCTCTTTAGTTTAATTAGATCCCATTTGTCAATTTTCGCTTTTGTTGCCATTCCTTTTTGTGTTTTAGTCATGAAGTTTTTGCCCAGGTCCATCCTGAATGGTATTGCCTAGGTTTTCTTCTAGGGCTTTTATGGTTTTAGGTCTTATATTTAAGTCTTTAATCCATCTAGAGTTAAGTTTTGTATTTGGTGTAAGGAAGGGGTCCAGTTTTAGTTTTCTGCATATGGCTAGCCAGTTTTCCCAACACCATTTATTAAATAAGGAATGCTTTCCCCATTGGTTGTTTTTGTTAGGTTTGCCAAAGAGCAGATGGTTTTAAATGTGTGGTGCTATTTCTGAGATCTGTTCTGTTCCATTGGTCTATATCTGATTCTGGACTTTTTTTGGTTGGTAGGCTATTAATTACTGCCTCAATTTCAGAACTTTTTATTGGTCTACTTAGGGATTTGACTTCTTCCTGGTTTAGACTTGGGATAGTGTATGGGTCTAGGAATTTATCTATTTCTTCTAGATTTTCTAGTTTATTTGTGTAGAGGTGTTTATAGTATTCTCTGATGGTAGTTTGTATTTTTGTGGAATCAGTAGTGATATCCCCTTTATCACTTTTTATTGCATCTATTGGATTCTTCTCTCTTTTCTTCCTTACTAATTTGACTAGTGGTCTGTCTATTTTGTTGATCTTTTCAAAAAGTCAGCTCCTGGATTCATGGATTTTTTTGAAGGGTTTTTTTTTTTTTATGTCTTTCTTCTTCAGTTCTGCTCTGATCTTAGTTATTTCTTGTCTTCTGCTAGTTTTTGAATTTGTTTGTTCTTACTTCTCTAGTTCGTTTAATTGTGATGTTAGGGTGTTGATTTTAGATTTTTCCTGCTTTCTTTTGTGGGCATTTAGTGCTATAAATGTCCCTCTATATACTGCTTTACCTGTGTCTACAAGATTCTGGTATATTATGTTTTTGATCTCTTGGTTTCAAAGAACTTATTTATTTCTGGCTTCACTATATTATTTACCCAGTAGTCATTCAGAAGCAGGTTGTTCAATTTCCATGTAGTTGTGCAGTTTTGAGTGAATTTCTTAATCCTGAGTTCTAATTTGATTCCACTGTGGCCTGAGAGACTATTTGTTATGATTCTCCTTGGTTGGCATTTGCTGAGGAGTGTTTTACTTCCAATTATGTGGTCAATTTTAGAATAAGTGTGATGTGATGGTGAGAAGAATGTATATTCTGTTGATTTGGGGTGGAGAATTTTGTAGATGTCTATTAGGTTCTCTTGATCCAGAGCTGAGTTCAAGTTGTGAATATCCTTGTCAATTTTCTGTCTCATTGTTCTGTATAATATTGAGAGTGGGGTGTTAAATTCTCCCACTAATATTGTGTGGGAATCTAAGTCTCTTTGTAGGTCTCTAAGAGCTTGCTTTATGAATCGGGGTGCTCCTATATTGGGTGCATTTATGTTTAGGATAGTTAGCTCTTCTTGTTGCATTGATCCCTTTACCAGTATGTAATGCTCTTCTTTGTCTCTTTTGATCTTTGTTGGGCAAAGTCTTATTTATCAGAGACTAGGATTATAACCTCTGCTCTTTTTTTTTTTTTTTTTTTTTTTTGCTTTCCATTTGCTTGGTAAATATTCCTCCATTCCTTTATTTTGAGCCTATGTGTGTCTTTGCATGTGAGATTGGTCTCCTGAATACAGCACACTAATGAGTCTTGAATCTTTATCCAATTTGCCAGTCTGTGTCTTTTAATTGAGCCATTTAGCCCATTCACATTTAAGGTTAATATTGTTATGTGTGAATTTGATCTGTCATTTTGATGCTAGCTGGTTATTTTGTCCATTAGTTGATGCAGTTTCTTCATAGAGTCAATGGTCTTTATAATTTGGTATGTTTTTGCAGTGGCTGGTACCAGTTGTTCTTTTCCATGTTTCCTTCAGGAGCTCTTGTAAGGCAGGCCTGGTAGTGAGAAAATCTCTCAGCATTTGCTTGTCTGTAAAGGATTTTATTTCTCCTTCACTTATGAAGCTTAGTTTGGCTGGATATGAAATTCTGAATTGAAAATTATTTTCTTTAATAATGTTGAATATAGGCCCTCACTCTCTTCTGGCTCATAGGGTTTCTGCAAAGAGATCTGCTGTTAGTCTGATGGGCTTCCCTTTGTGTGTAATCTAACCTTCCTCTCTGGTTGCCCTTAACATTTTTTCCTTCATTTCAACCTTGGTGAATCTGATGATTATGTGTCTTGGGGTTGCTCTTCTCTAGGAGTATCTTTGTGGTGTTCTCTGTATTTCCTGAATTTGTACGTTGGCCTGTCTTGCTAGGTTGGGGAAGTTCTCCTGGATAATATCCTAAAGAGTGTTTTCCAACTTGGTTCCCTTCTCCCCATCACTTTCAGGTACACCAATGAAATGTAGATTTGGTCTTTTCACATAGTTCCATATTTCTTGGAGGCTTTGTTTCTTCCTTTTCGTTCTTTTTTCTCTAATATCTCCATGCTTTATTTCATTAAGTTGATCTTCAATATATGATATCCTTTCTTTCACTTGATTGATTTGGTTATTGATACTTGTGTATGTGCTTCACGAAGTTCTCATGCTGTGTTTTTCAACTCCATCAGGACATTTATGTACTTCTCTAAACTGGTTATTCTAGTTAGCAATTCCTCTAGCCTTTTTTCAAAGTTCTTAGCTTCCTTACATTGGGTTAGAACATGCTCCTGTAACTCAAGAGTTTATTATTACCCATCTTCTGAAGCCTACTTCTGTTAATTCGTCGAACTCGTTCTCCATCCAGTTTCGTTCCCTTGCTGGCAAGGAGTTGTGATCCTTTGGAGGAGAAGAGGTGTTCTGGTTTTTGGAATTTTCAGCCTTTTTGTGATGGGTTCCCCCCATATTCATGGATTTATCTACCTTAGGGTTTTGGTGTTGGTGACCTTTGGATGGGGTTTCTGAGTGGAGGTCATTTTGTTGATGTTGATGCTATTTCTTTCTGTTTGTTAGTTCTTCTAACAGTCAGGCCCTTCTACTGCAGGTCTGCTGGAGTTTGCTGGAGGTTCATTCCAGACCCTGTTTGCTTGTGTATCACCAGTGGAGGCTTCAGAGCAGCAAAGATTGGGGCTCGTTCCTTCTTCTGGAAGCTTTGTCCCAAAGGGCCACCTACCAGATGTCAGCCAGAGCTCTCCTGTATGAGGTGTCTGTTAGCTCCTGTTGGGAGGTGTCTCACAGTCAGGAGTCATGGGGATCAAGGGACCCACTTGAGGAGTCAGTCTGACCCTTAGGAGAGCTTGAGCGCTGTGCTGGGAGATTTGCTACAGAGTCAGTAGACAGTCTGCTGAAGCTGTGGCTACAGCCATCCCTTCCCCCAGGTGCTCTGTCCCAGGGAGATGGGAGTTTTATCTCTGAGCCCCTGGCTGGGCTGCTGCCTTTTTTTCAGAGATGCTCTGCCCAGGGAGGAGGAATCTCCAGCCTGCTTTTTAAAGCAGGTCTCCAATTCCATTCCTCCTCACTATGTGGAATCTCCCAACCAGGGTCTCCAGCCACCCTTGCCAGTGCTCTCCAGCTGACAGAGATTTAAAGCCTCCCTGATGCCGTTCCCAAAGGGAGGGCCGGGCTGCCATCTTTCCTATTTGGATTACTTAACCATTCTGGTCTTCAGGCTTAGGAGAGTTTGAAGTGACCAGGGGCAGTAGCAGACCCCTAGCACAACACAGCTGCCCTACAGAAATGTGATCCGACTCCTTTTTAAAGTGGTTCCTCAATCCTGTTTCTCTTCACTGGGTGGGACCTCCCAACTGGAGTCTCCAGCCACATCCTACAGGTACATTCAGGCTGGCAACAAGTCTATCTCCCTGGGACAAAGCTCCCAGAGGGAGGAGCAGGCCACCATATTTGCTGTTTCACAGCCTTCACTATTGATACCTCCAGGTACTGGAAAATCCATGACTAGGGAGTAGAGTAGGCTCCCAGTATACTGCAGCAGCCCTACCAAAAAAAATGGTTATGTGGATGCCCATTTCCATATCTCCTCACTGGGCAGGTCCTCCAGGCCTGGGCATCCAGCCATCCACCAGAACTATTGAGCCAGAAGCAGCTCTGCAACTCCCTGAACAGAGCCCCCAGGGGAAACTGAAAGCCTCTCTGTCTCTGCCTCTGTGGTAGAACTGCCTTTGCTACCCTCATACTAACAAAGTAGCAAAGAGCCTAAGGCCTTATCCACACCTCCAACAAGCTGCAGTTGACCCAGGAAGAGGAGGCCAGTCTATCTCCCACAGGTCCCATCCAACCTCCCTGCTCATCAACAGACAGGGAGTCTCCAGCATTGGCCCACAGCACAGACCTTTCCATCCTGGGCTGATTGCACTGAGCAATTGCTGACCTACATATTTCTGTGGTGGAGCTCCCAGGAGACAAGCAAAATATCATTGGCCATAACTGCAACTTAGAACTCTTTCTGTGCTGCCTCCGAGTTGGGGAAGGAGCATAAACACTGAGGTTGCCCCAGAGCTTCAGTGGGCAGCCCAGGAGCACCAAGCTGTGATCTACAGCCAGCACATGGTGGGGAGAGGAACCTACTCTTTCAAGGTATTGAGAGAGAACATGGCTGAAACTGTGAGGAAACAGTGAGAAGTGCAGTTGTGATTCATATATTTGTCCTCTTTACATAATTTCATACTTCTTGCAGGTTTTTCAGGGGAGCCATACAACTGAACAAGAGTCTATCAACTGACCAATATATGTAAGTGCCACCTACTGGATCACAACCCCAAATTTCAATACACCAAATACCTCACTTACATACCCCACTCTGAAACCAAAGACAAGAAGTCAGCTTCAAATAAAGACCCTATACAAAGGCTTGGAAAATAAGCCTGTTGACTCAATTTACACTGCAGTTGAAGAAAGACCCACATGCAGAGATGAGAGGAAAAAAAAAAAACACTCAAGAACTCCAGTAACTCACATGGCCAGACAATACATGGCTAACAACACAATGATAGGATCAAATCCACACATATTAATATTAACCTTAAATGTAAATGTGCTAAATGTCCCACTTAAAAGACACAGCATAATAAACTAGATTAAAAAAGTGAGACCCAATGGTATGGTCATATGTTTTTGAAACCACTGCAGCAATTCTCCAACAAAAGTTCTTGACCAAGCTAAGCTGGCTGAAATGATAAAAAGAGAATTCAGAATGTTGATAGGAATGAAGATCACTCTGATTCAGGAGAATGACAAAACCCAATCCAAGGAAACGAAGAATCACAATAAAATAATACAGGAGATGAAGGACAAAATAGCTAGTATAAAAAAGAACCTAATGGCTCGGATAGAACTGAATAGCACAAGTAAAGGAATTTTACAATGTAATCACAAGTATGAACAGGAGAATAAACCAAGCTGAGGAACGAATTTCAGAACTTGAAAACTGGGTCTCTGAAATAAGGCAGTCAGACAAAAATAAATAAAATAAAGAATGAAGATTAAAAATGGATATTCAAAACCTCTAAGAAGTATGAAATTATGTAAAGAGGCCAAATATATGAATCACTGACATCTCTGAAAGGGAGGGGGAGAAAGCAAACAACCTGGAAAACATATTTTAGGATATCTTCCACAAAAACTTCCCCAACCTTGCTAGAGAGGCCAACAGTCAAATTCAGAAAATACAAAGAACTCCTGCAAGATTCTACACAAGAAGATCAGCCCCAAGACACATAATTGTCAGATTTTCCAAGGTTGAAATTAAAGAAAGAATGTTGAAGGCAGCTAGAGAGAAAGAGTAGGTCACCTATGAAGGAAACCCCATCAGATTAACAGTGGACCTTTCAGGTGAAACCCTGTAAAACAGAAGAGATTAGGGGCCTATATTTAACATTCTTAAAGAAAAAACATATTCAACCACAAATTTCATATCTAGCCAAACTAAACTTCCTAAGCAAAGAGAAATAAGATCCTTTTCAGATAAGCAAATGTTGAGGGATCTGCCTTATAAGAGATCTTGAAGGGATCACTAAATATTGAAAGAAAATACTGCTACCAGAAACACATTTAAATACACAGACCAGTGACACGATAAAGCAACCACACAAATAATCCAGCAACCAGCTAACAACACAATGACAGGAGAAAATGCACACATTCAAGAGGTGACTTGGCTTTTTCTGAAAGCAATCAGTTATACACATTCACAAAGAAATGATTTGAAATAAGAACTTATATTGAAAAGAGAAACAGAGCATAAAGGTTTGGAAAATTTGAACTCTGACCATGTGGTAAAGAAGAAAAATCCATTTCCTGGGAAGAAATTCAAGTCAGCTGCAGAAAATTACATGAGTAATGAGGAGCTGAATGTTAATGCAGAAACATTAGACAAGACATCTCCTGCTTTCAGGCAAATAGGGGGAGAACAGAGAACTCTTCTTATATCTGCTTTTCCCCACTAGCTTTCAGTTCAAAATAATCCTTATGCCAAAGTGGCACATTCTAGTCACTTACCGTCCTCCCTTTGAACTTTATTTTCAGAAAGTTTCACATATTAAAAGCTGAGTTTGCCGGGTGTGGTGACTTACACCTGTAATCCAAACACTTCAGGAGGCTGAGAGGGGCAGATCACCTGAGGTCAGCAGTCTGAGACCAGCCTGACCAACATGGAGAAACCCCATCCCTACTAAAAATACAAAATTAGCCAGGCGTGTTGGTGCATGCCTGTAATCTCAGCTACTCAGGAGGCTGAAGCAGGAGAATCACTTGAACCCAGGAGGCGGAGGTTGTGGTCAGCCGAGATTGCACCATTGCACTCCAGCCTGGGTAACAACAGCGAAACTCTATCTCGAAAGAGAGATAGAGAAAAAAAGCTGAGTTTGTAGTCCTATATCTTATGGAGCCAGTCTCTTATCCCTGAGTTCAGTTAAACTCAAGTCAATTGAGTTAGAGAGTAGTGTATTATTTCAGCAGGCAGTGTTGCAGGGGAGTTCCATCAAAGTTAGGCCTCAATATGGTGCAAGCAAACAGATATTTAATAAGAGTCATTTCCTTTTAAATACAAAAAAAAAAAAAACCCTAAAGATTAATCACTGGAAAAAATGATAAATCAGTTTCTGAGTCAGTAAGGCAGTCACTTGAGAGAGTTCTAGATTTGATCTCAAAGCCTCTTAGATGGTGGAATGAGGATGGCAGTTTAAATCTAATGGGTTTTCCTGGTTTGTAGTTTGAATATCTCTGGTGATATTCAGTGTTCTAGTGAACTTTCTGAGTGACCTGCACAGCAACAGGCATCAAGGTTGTCTATATTTGAGCTTGTGGTGATTTATCTAAAGTTTATAACAAGTCATCCAGCTTTAGCTTTCAGAACTTTAGAAAAAGGGCAGTCTTAGTTGTTAACAGTTTCAAGTCAGAAAGGTGGGAGAAAACTGGAAATGCTAGCTTAGAGAGTTGTAGCCAGATATTAGAGAAACTATTGGAATTCAGGATCCTGTTTAGTTTAACAAAACCTCAAAGACAATGAATAGTGCTCAATGTGATAATCTAATCTTGTTACAGATAGAACACTACGTTACACATGGTACACTATGAATTTCTACTGAAACATTTTTCTCTCTGTAGTCATCCCCATGTCTGTCAAAGGTAATCATAGTAAGACTAACTTGTTTGCAGAGTAAGTCTGGTCTCATTAAACATGACCTGATTATTTACGTAAGTGCCACAAGTATTGTGATTAACCATATAGGCTCTTTTTAAGTTTGCTTTACTGGAACTTCTAACAGGAAATCTCAGATTTGCCTTTTAAAAGCCTCTGTAGACTAAGAAGACAAGCCAAAGACTTTCCATCAGACTTCACCTGAAGAAGTTTCTTGTTTGTTTGCTTTCGTTTTTTGAGAAGGAGTCTTGCTCTGTCTCCAGGCTGGAGTGCAGTGGCGTGATCTTGGTTCACTGCAACCTGCATCTCCTGGGTTCAAGAAATTCTCCTGCCTCAGCCTCCTGAGTAGCTGGGACTACAGACTCATGCCACCATGTCCAGCTAATTTTTGTATTTTAAGTAGAGATGAGGTTTCACCATGTTGGCCAGGGTGGTCTGGATCTCTTGACCTTGTGATCCACCCGCCTCGGCCTCCCAAAGTGCTGGGATTATAGGTGTGAGCCATCGCACCTGGCCCGAAGTTTTTTATTTAAGTGAGGCCTAGCTTATAAATTATTTCTTTTTTTAACCTTGCCTTTGGTATTAGGTCTCAGAGTCATTACCAAACTCAAGTCATCTAGATTTTTTCCTTATGTTATCTGCTAGGAGTTTTACATTATAGTTTTTGCATTTTACTTTAAGGTTTATAATCTATTTTGAGTTAATTTTTGTAAAGTGTATAAAGTTTGTGTGTAGTTTCAGTTTTGTTTTATTGTTTTTGTTTTTGAAACAGGGTCTTACTCTGTTGCCCAGGCTGGAGTGCAGTGATGCAATTATGGCTCACTGCAGCCTTGACCTTCTGGGTTCAGACAAGCCTCCCACATCAGCCTCCCAAGTAGCTGAGACTACAGATGTGCACCACCACATCTGGTTAATTTGTTGTTGTTGTTGTTGTTGTTGTTGTTAGTAGTAGTAGAGCCAAGGTCTTGCCCTGTGCCCAGGCTGGTCTTGAAGTCCTGAGCTCAAGGGATCCTCCCACTTCATCTTCCCAAAGTGCTGGGACTATAGGCATGAGCTGCCATGCCTGGCCTACTTTCGGTTTTTAGCATGTGGATTTTCAGTTGTTCTAACACCATATATTGAAAAGCCTCTCCTTGATCCATTGTATTGCCTTTGCTTCCTTGTTAAAGATGAGTTCACTGTATTTGTTGGGTCTATTTTGAGGCTCTCTATACTGTTCTATTGATCAATTTGTTTATTCTCTTGCTAATGCCAAACTTGATTACTGTAGCTATATAGTGAATATTTAAATCAGATAGTGTAGTCCTCCAAGTTTGTTCTTCTTTGGTATTGAATTGATAATTACACTTATTTTTGAAGAGGTACAAAAGCAATTCAATAGAGAAAGGATAACTTTCCAACAAAAAGTGCTGGAAACATTGGACATTCTTTGTTTTGTTTTAATTTTACATTAGGTTCTGGGGTACATGTGCAGATCATGCAGGATTGTTGCATAGGTACATACATGGCAATGTGGTTTGCTGTCTCCAGCCCCCTATCACCTATATCTGGCATTTCTCTCCATGTTATCCCTCCCCAGCCTCCCCACCCCCTGCTGTCCCTCTCCCATCCCCCCTAAAAGACCCTACAATGTGAAGAGGGTTAAAAGACAAACTGCAGGCTGATCAAAAACACTTGCAAACCACATATTCAGTAAAGAACTAGGATCTATAATAAGAACTTTCAAAAACTCAACACAAATAAATAATTCATTTAGAAACAGGCAAAAGACATGCACAGACATCTCAAATAGGACATACGGATAACAGGTAAGCACATGAAAAGATACTTGACTCCATTAGCCCCTAGGGAAATAAAAATTAAAACTGATACAGAAGTTAAAAAGAAATTATTTAGGCAGTTAGTGAGGTTAAGGGAGCCCTCAGTAAGGTTTTTTTTTAAATGAAAAGCAACCCCCAAATAATTTGTTGTCTAATGAATAGCAGCCTGTAAAATTGAGCTGCTGACATAGATAAGCCAGCTGGAAACTTACACAGGTGAATGCCAGCAGCTATGCCAATAGGAAAAGGCTATCTGTGGGCTAGACATGTTCGACATGGCACCTCCATCTCCCCTTTTTTTTCCCAAACGTGTACAGTAAGGAGCAGACAACATGGTGTCAGCCAGAAGGAGACCCTATTTGCATAATAAAACATTAGGGTGGGGTGTCCACCTTCCTCACATGCTCTGTAAATGACACACCTGGTCCAACCAATCTTTGGGCCCTGTGTAAATCAGACACTGCCTCCTCAGGCCAGTCTATAAAACCTCATGCACTTTACCATGGAACCAGAAGACATACCTGGGTACCCCACGCTCTCTGCAGGAGAGATAGCTATTTTTTTCCTCTTTCTTTCACCTATTAAACGTCCACTCTTAAATTCACTACTTGTGTGGCCACATCCTTGATTCCCTTGGTATGAGACAACAAACCTCAGGTATTTACCCCAGACAATGATGCTGCTTTGAACCCAGAATAAGTTATCATTACACATCTATCAGAATAACTAAAAAATAGTTTCAACACTAATTTCTGAATAGGGTGCCAAGAAACTGGATCACTCATACATCACTGCTGGAAATATGAAAATATACAGCCACACTATAAAACAGTTTGGCAATTCTTTACAAAACTAAAGATACACTTTACTGAAGATACATGTATCTTTACAAAACTAAAGATACATGGCCCAACACTTGCTTTCCTCCCAGAGCCCAAGGGCCATTTACAAAGTCAAACTTGGGACAAGAGGGCCAACATAGCAAAAAGTTACAAAACAGAAGTAGGCTTTATTGGTAAAAACCTAGGGGAATATATATGAAATGGAATTATAAGGGTAAAGCACTAGGGGTAAATTTAAGTTGGTGAAACTGCCTTTGCAAAAATTTTAACACTAAGAAAATTATGACAGTGAAAGAGATCTGATCTAATCAACCCCCTTATTGTCTTTAACCTCCAAACTGTCTTTAACTCTATGCCATTTGCTGTGAGAATACTTGCTGGTAGCACTTGCAGCTGCAGCACTTACCCCGAGATAACTTTGCCACAAAATATCTCGCTTTTATGATTATTTTTGCATCACTGTAGTTATATCAACTTCTGAAACAAAAGACATCGTTCTATTTTTTTTTTTTTTTAAACTTTTTATTGGATTATAGGTTTTGGGGTACATGAGCAGAGCATGCAAGACAGTTGCGTAGGTACACACATGGCAGTGTGCTTTGCTTTTCTTCTCCCCTTCACCCACATTTGGTATTTCTCCCCAGGCTATCCCTCCCCACCTCCCCCTCCCACTGGCCCTCCCCTTTTCCCCCCAATAGACTCCAGTGTTTAGTGCTCCCCTTTCTGTGTCCATGTGTTCTCATTTTTCATCACCCACCTATGAGTGAGAATATGCGGTGTTTCATTTTCTGTTCTTGTGTCAGTTTGCTGAGGATGATGTTTTCCAGATTCATCCATGTCCCTACAAACGACACGAACTCATCATTTCTAATCAACCCAAATGCCCATTGATAATAGACTGGATTGGAAAAATGTGACATCGTTCTATTTATAGTATTCTGTTTTCAGTAGCAGTATTTCAATTTACAAAATATAGAATTTCTCAATTGCTGAAAATGTTAAATTCTAGAAAATGTAGCATTTCTATGCATGTTGTTAACATTGTTCTCAAACGGTTGTTGGCTGAAGATTCATTTGATGAATCTGATTTTTCTGAAATAGATTATACTGTTCTGTTGAGAAATAACTCCAAAAATGGTTTTTGAATTATTTTCACATTGAAAATCAATCAAATTTGCTTCAAGGCCAACGTGTTTATGTAAAATTAAATGAGTGCTGGCAGTGAGCTGCACTTTTTTTCTCTAAAGGCAAAAAGCGTTAATCATTCTTCAGCTTGGACTAGCTAATTTTGGGAGCTATTTAGTTTGTAGTTTAAATGATAATAGCCCTTCTCCAAAACTAAATCACCTTTCTAAAGCTAATGAAAGACCATCAGGTTAGAAAGATGCGAGGAGCCTGAATTCTGCTAAGGTGTGGATTACCAGCCATTATTCTGGAAGTCACAAGATTTGCAACTTCCCCAATTATTCCTGTAGACAACAACACTATTATAGAATCTATGACTGGCCTTTTGAGATGTCTTTTCAGATTTTTGCATTTATGATGACCAGTGGTTCCACTGGCACCTGCCAACCAGTCCTCTGGCCCCACTCAGACTCCTGGGCCCACAGAAATATTCTTGGAAAGACTCTTGAGAAGAAATGGGAAGAGGTCTCTCTCTCTCTCTCTCTCTGTGGTAGACTGAAAATTATATTCACTGGCTTATGCTGAGTTGAGACTTCAGAAATCCCTTGAAGAGAAAAAAGAAAGGAAGATTTTGGGAGATAAAAATTGTCAACCTTAAATCACTAGATTCAGAAAATATGATTAAGTAGAGAGTTTATTTGGGCCTAAAGCTTGAAAATGGTCACCAGGGAGCATAGATTGAAGTTACCCTGAATATACACACCAATTCGCAGTAGTTACAAGTATGTTTTAAGGAAAAAAGAACAGGCAGTTCCTGAGTTGTTTACAAAGAATTTACCTTAACACAAGCTATTAATTGACTATACACTGTTCTTTGTATCACAAATTCCAGGAACCTGAAGATAATGGGAGAGGCAGCTATGAGGAACAAAATGTCTTTAAGTAATTGCCTTTCGACATGGATAAAGGGTATGACTAAAGTCTCATACCAGTGTTTCTCTGGGCCTGCTCAATTTTGCAATTGCCCTGAGCTATTTTTTCTTTCTCAAAATGCTAAAATGGATTTGTTTTGTGTTACTCACTTAGCCATTCCAGCTCTAAAGACATACCTGTCTTAATGTAATCACCCAGTTGGTTCTTCTTGCCCACTGAACAGACAAAAATCAATCCACTGAGACCACAGCATTGCAGGACAGAAAGAGTTAAATTGATGTGAGACTGGCTCACTCAGGAGAACTGAATTTATTACTCAAATCAGTCTCCCCAAAGACTTGGAGGTTAGGGATTTTATGGACAATTTGGTGGGCAGGGGGCTAAGGAATGGGTGCTGCTGATTGGTTGAAGATGACATTATGGCAGTGTATGAGACAATCTTCATGTGCTGAGTTCACCTCTGGTTGGGGCAATAGGATCCATTGAGTCATGAGTTTGGGTGGGATCAGTCTGAAAAACATCTTAAAAAAAAAATCTTGGGTTTTACAATAGTGATATTTCTTATAGGAACAGTTGGGAAAGTCACAAATCTTGTGACTTCTGGCTTCATGACCACTGAGCAGTAAGGAATTATAGTAATTATGCCTTTATTTTCAGAATTCAGGCCCCTCTCACAAACTTAACCTTGTGGCCTTTCATTACTTTTTATAAAGGCAGTTTAGTTTTAGAAAGGACTATTTTCATCTTTGATTTAGGGTAATACTATAAATTATTTCCAAAGTTATTTTGACCTATGCCCAGCAATGACCAAGGACAGCTTGGAGATCAGAAGCAAAATGGAGTTAACTATGTCAAATTTCTCTGTCATAATTTTGCAAAGGTGGTTTCAATAAGAGCATACAGAAAAGCATTTAGGTCTATTGTCCATTTGGAGTTAATTTTTGTGGAAGGCATAAGAGTCTAAATTCATATTTTTGTATATGACTAAACAAATGGTCCATCACCATTTATAGAAAATACTGTCTTTCTCTCATTGAATTGCCTTAGCAGCTTTGTGAAAAATCAATTTATTGATAGTTATAGGACTTTATTTCTGGCCTCTCAATTATGTCACATTGGATCAATACATTAATACTGCACTATATTGATTACTAATGTTTTATAATACATTTTAAAGTTGAGAAGTATCTAAGTCATCCAAATTTATTTTTCAAGATTTTTTGATCTATTCTGGGAACTAAGCTTGCTTATCTGGAATAAATCCCACTTGTTCATGGTGTATTAAAAGATTTGCTAACAATCTAGAAAAGATTTTTGCTTCTAATTTTAGGGGAGATGTTTGTTTGTTTGTTTGTTTTGTTGTTGTTGTTTCCTTTTCTATTTTCTGGAAGAGATTATGCAAAGTTGGTGTTAATTCCCCTTTAAAAAAGGTGTAGTAGAATTAGGCAATGAGGCCATTTGGACCTGGAGATTTTATTTTGGAGAGATTTTTAATTAAAAATTTCTGTAATAATAATAGGGTTACTTAGATTGTCTATTTCATCTTAGTTGAGTTTTTGTAGTTTGATTTTCATGGAATTGGTCCACTTATTCTAAATTGTCAAATTTATGAGCATAAAGCCATATGTAAGATTTTCTATTATCTTTTTTAATGGTTGCAGTATTTGAAATGAGAGTTCCTGTTTAAGTCCTCATATCGATGACTCATTTTCCATTGTTGTCAATCTTGCTAGAGGTTTATTGATTTTATTATTATTTTGTTTGTTTGTTTTGAACAACGACCTTTTCCTTTTATGGCATTTTTCAGTAAGATTTTCCTACTTTCAATATTATTGGCTTCTGCACTTTACCACTCTATTCCTTTTGCTTGCTTTGGATTTATTTTGCTCCTCTTTTTCAGGAAAAGTAGGAACTTAAATTATCAATATGACACCTTTCTTAATTGTTATGGGGGAGTGAAAGTTTATTAAAACACTTTAGAGAAGGAATGAAAGGAAGTGTACTTGGAAGAAGGTCAAGTAGGCAGCATGAGATGATCAAGTGCCCCTTTCTTAATTTTTAATGTAAGTATACAGTGCTATGAATTTTCTTCTTAGTACTGCTTTAGCTGCATCCCACATACTTTGATATGTTTTCATTTATATTTAGTTCCATGTAGCCTTTTAATTTCCTTTGAGATGCCCTGTTTGACACATAGATTATTTAGAAATGTGTTGTTTAGTTTTCAAGTGTTTTAAGAGTTTCCTGTTGTCTTTGTTAGAGATTTTCAGTTTTCCATTATGTCCAGAGCACATGATGCCAATTCTTTTACATTTGTTAAGTTTGTTTTTCTATACATTTTATGTCTTTTTCTAGTTGGTGAATGTTGCATGGGCAATTGAGAAAAACATATTGTTAGGTGATATGTCTTATAAATGTTAATTAGACCTTGTTGATTGTGTTGCTCAGATTTTCCATATACTTGTGATTTTTCTTCTTCATAGTTCCAGTAGTTACTGGGGAAAGGGGAGAATGATGTTGAAGTTCCCAACTATAATTATAGATTCTTCTATTTCTCTCTTTTTTGTTTTTGTTTTTTTTGAGACGGAGTTTCACTGTTGTTACCCAGACTGGAGTGCAATGGCATGATCTCAGCTCACCGCAACCTCTGCCTTCTGGGTTCAAGCAATTCTTCTGCCTCAGCCTCCCAAGTAGCTGGGACTACAGGCGCGCACCACCATGCCCAGCTAATTTTTGTATTTTTTTTTTTTGGTAGAGACGGGGTTTCACCTCGTTGACCAGGATGGTCTTGATCTCTTGACCTTGTGATCCACCTGCCTTGGTCTCCCAAAGTGCTGGGATTATAGGCATGAGCCACCGTGCGCAGCCAGATTCTTCTATTTCTCATTTCAGCTTTACCAATTTTTGCTTCAGCTATTTAAGGCTCTGTGGTTTCGCTTGTACATATTTAGTATGTAGTGTCTTCTGATTGATCCTTTTATCATTAAGTAATATTCCTTTTTGTCTCGGTAATTTTCTTTGCTTTGCAGTCTACTTTATCAGACACTACTACTGCTACTCCTGCTGTTTTTTAAAAAGGTGTTAATGTATATGTGATATATCTTTTTCCGCCCTTTTTATTTTCAACTTATCTGTGTTTGAACTTAAAATGAGTTTCTTATATGCAGCATATAGTTGGATTATGGGTTGTTTTTAACTCATTCTACCAATCTCTTAATTGGTGTATTTAGACCATTTACATATAAGGTATTTACTGATATGATAGCACTTTAGCCTGTTATTTTGTTATTTATTTTCTATTTGTCTCCTCTGGTTCTCATCACTTTTTCTTTCTTGCCTTTCTGCAGTTTATTTAAACATGTTTTAGATTCCATCTTGATTTATTTGTAATACTTCTGAGTTTGTCACTTTGTATAGTTTTCATATTGGTTGCTCTGGGTGTTACACATGCTACTTGTAACAATATACTGGTATCAATATTTACCACTTCAAATGAAGTGTGGAAACCTCACTTCCATTTAGGTCCCTTTGGCTTCCCCACCTTTAAATATCATTGTTTTGAGTATCAGATGTTGTTACAATTTTTGTTTCAATCATAAAATATGATTTCTAAAACCCATAAGGAAAAAATTGTCTATTGTATGAACCCATATTTCTGCTCTGTTGTTTCTTCTTTTTTCCTGATGTTCTAAGTTTCCTTCTTTTATCATTTCTTTGCTGTTTGAAGAACTCCCTTCAGCTAGTCTTTTAAGGGTAGATCTGCTAGTAACAAAATCTTTTAATTTTCATTCGTCTGTGAATGTTTTATAACCCTTCATTCCTAAAAGATAGCTTTGCCAGATCTAGAATTATAGGTGACAGTTTCTATCTTTCATCACTTAAAAAATATTTGGCCACTTCCTTATTTATGGTTTCAGATAAGAAATCCATTCAAATTGGTGTTCTCCTACAAGCAATGCACTATTTCTCACTTGCTGCTTTCAGGACTTTGTCTTCAGTTTTCAAAAAATTATAATGTGCCTGGGCATGGATTTTTTGTTTCTTCTGTGGGATCCATCCAGCTTCTTGAATCTCTAAGTTGGTGTCTTCCATCTAATTTGGAATGTTTTCAGTCTTATTTCTTCAAATACTCATTCATCCCTACTCTTTTTCTCCTTTACTTTCTGTTACTCCAATAATATGAATGCTGGATATTTTGTTACTGTTCCATAGGTCCCTGAGGTCTGTTTATTTTTCCTGGTATATTTTCTATTGTTCAGATTGGGTAAATTCTATTGTTCGATCCCAAGTTCACAGATTTTATCTCCCATCATCTCTACCATACTATTAAGCCTATCCAGTGAGTTTTCAGTTTGTTGTTGTATTTTTCAGTTCTACAATTTTCATTTGTTTCCTTTTGATAAAACTTACTTTTTTTCTGAGGTTTCTGGTTTTTTTCATTTGTTTTGAGAGAATTTATAATTGATTGTTGTAGCATTTTTATGATATCTGCTTTAAAAATCTTAATATATAATTCCAATATCTGATTTATCTCAGTGCTAGAATCTACTAATTTCCTTTTTCATTCAAGTTGTGATTTTACTGTGATTTTTACTTGAACATTTTGATTTTTATCTTGCTTTTTACTCTGAACATTTTGCCTATTATGTTAGGAGACTTATTTCTATTGCAATATTTTGTTTTACAAGGAGTCAATCTGTTAGGTTTAGTATACAGTTTTAGCCTACTTTTGTGGGCTGTAATTCTAATTGTAGCTTAATTTTCAGAGCCCTTGTAGTGTTATTTTGGTTGCTTGGTTTATCTAAGGCTCCCACTGGTCTCTGTTAGTGCTGCCTGAAAGGGCAGGAGGAATTTTCCTGGCTGGGTTGCCAGATATCTCTTGGTGAGGGCAGGCTATGATAAATCCTGCTGGTGCCTCTAGCTGCCCAGATTTCTCTGGGCCTGGGAGGAGAGTCTTGCTTCCACAAAGTGGCTTCCGTGATCAGGTGGCTGGCTTCGGGAATGTTGGCTGTGACGGGTCCCTTTTCCTGGTTCTACCTGCCAATCCTAGTATCTCTGGGCAGAAGAGGAGAGTCTCAGGCTTGTGCAAAAAGGCTTCCCCAACTGGACCACCTATTTTTCCTGGGTTTCTCTTACTGGCTCCTCCTGTCCACCTCAGTATCTCTCCTTGGAAAAGAGGAGTTTCTGACCCAGGGGAAGAAGGGTGCTTCCCCTGGTTATTTATTTTTTGTAGGACTCCCAATCAGTCCCCTTGCTTGAGGTTGTCAAAGGGACTCCAATAGGTTCAGGGGGAAGAATGAGCTTCTGGGCTACCTTCTGTTTCTAGATGGAAAGTCAGGAAACACCTGATAGTTAAGGGGATATAAGATGCCCTGCCTGGCCGGGCGCGGTGGCTCAAGCCTGTAATCCCAGCACTTTGGGAGGCCGAGGCGGGTGGATCACGAGGTCAATCGAGACCATCCTGGTCAACATGGTGAAACCCCGTCTCTACTAAAGATACAAAAAATTAGCTGGGCATGGTGGTGCGTGCCTGTAATCCCAGCTACTCAGGAGGCTGAGGCAGGAGAATTGCCTGAACCCAGGAGGCGGAGGTTGCGGTGAGCCGAGATCGCACCATTGCACTCCAGCCTGGGTAACAAGAGTGAAACTCCGTCTCAAAAAATAAAAAATAAAAAATAAAAAAAGATGCCCTGCCTTTGTGCTGCTCTGTGGTCCTGGGTTTTCAAACCAGCTCAGCTTCTTCATACCCTTCAGAATTCTCCTTTAGTTTTCTCTTGTACCATTTCTAACATTTATTAAGTTGTGCTTAACAGGGCATAGCAGGGGAAGGGGTAATGCCATCTTGTCCAGGCCAGAAGTCTCTCACCTACTGAATGTTATGTCTACATTATTTGTTTAAATATAGGTATGTTTTTGCTACTTTAGATCCAATTACATGTGAATAATCAAAAATCCCAGAGAAGACTACCTAATGCAGAAATTTAACCTATTTTTTCCACATGTAATTAATGAGATTGGGAGAAAATTGATGTGACAATAAATAGGATCTAAGGTGAGCACATAAGGATACTGCTGAGGATCATATACACACGCTCTCCTCCACTCAGGTCATCTCCTTCCAATATGCTCAGGGTGGATCTCTATATGAAGCACAGACAGATCACGGAAGCCTCCAAAGGGAATGAGAAAAATGGGAGGAGGTGGTAGAGTCTATTATAGGGACAATACAGTTCTTTCTTCCTGGGGCTGACTGGCAAGACCTGCCTGGATGCTTCTTCCTGGGAAATTTCAACTCTGAAAGGCTGAGTAGTGCCAGGAGAATGGTAGCTCCAGAACTCCCTAGGTTGATTGGGCCCTTCTCTGAGCTATAGTGGTGAATGCAGCTTGATCCAATCAAATCAAAGTAGAAAAGCAGGTATTTATTTGGAGCAGCATCCTCAGCTTGGTAAGTTTTCTTTCTTTCTTATTTATATACTATGTTGTTTCCAAGAAGGATTTAAAGTGACTTCAATGATTATACAATATATATGAAAATATAAATTAGATACATGGGTAAAAAAGAACAAGAGGAAAACAAGGCACAGGAATAAGGCTGGTGCAAAACTGCTTCTTTGTGATTTTTCTACAGTTATAATAAAGAGTCCATGAGTGGCACATGGTTGGGGTATTTCCTGTGCCATCTCTGACTAGGACCTCAGGACTGGGCATGGAGATGGCAGGATAAACTCCTAACAAGAAAGGACCCTCAAGACATGCCATAGAGGAAGACACATTCCCATGGGAATTTCTCTATAATACTCCATAGATATCCTCTTCCTGAAACATGCTTGTTTTCTTCTCAAAGATTTCCAAGTTCTTACTTTGAGAATGGCCTTGGTTTTGGGCAGTGTAATCTACTGAAAGACTCAGGCTACTAAGTTCCTGAGAGATCGCATTCCAGTTAGGGTCTGTTACAAGTCAGAGACTATATAAATACACAAAAGAGCAAGAACCAAGGCTAAAACTACAGTTAGTAATTCCTCAAACTCTTACTTTTTTGTTTTTTGGCTTTGGGTTTTTTTTTTTTTTTTTTTTTTTTTAAGAGATGAGGACTTGCTCTATTGCCCAGCTTGGAGTACAGAGATGTGATCATGGGATCCTGGCTCATTGCAGCCTTGAATTCCTGGTTCAAGGGATCCTCCTGCCTCAGCCTCTCAAGTAGCTGTGACTACAAGTGCATGCCACTGCACCCAACTAATTTTTTGTTATTTTTTGCAGAGATAGGGTCTCACTATGTTGTCCAGGTTGGTCTTGAACTCCTAGCCTCAAGCAATCCTCTCACCTTAGTCTCTCAAAGTGTTGGGATTACAGGTGTGAGCCACTACACCCAAGTCCAAACTCTTGTATTTAAAATTCTTCTTTCTGATTCTCAGAATCTAGGCCAAAATTTTTAGATTCAGACTTGCAGGTCCCAAGTCAGCTGGAAATCTCGGTGATGCTGATGACACATAGGAGCCAAGAAGTAGCCACAGAAGTTGTACTGTGCTTGGTGACTAAATGACCACACTCCTTCCACTATGAGAGCTGTCTTTCTCCTGGGGAATAGAAGAACACACAAAAAACACCCAGTCAGTGTAATCTGTCTTTGCATTTAACACATAAGTTATGCTTGATTCACAAATGCTAAGTGAGTAGTGGCTGTCAGGACAGCAGATCTGAACTTAAAAAATATTTCTTGACTCTTCATGAAAACAATCTCTCTCTCCAGGCTTAGGTTTTTCTTGCTTTCCTCTCTAGAGACTCTCTGAAATACTTGTAATTTCTGAAAATTTCTTTCAGTCTAATTCACTCTGCCTCTTGCTCTGTTTTCTAATTCCTTCAAGTCTCCCTTAGACTGAGAAAGGGGTACCTTGTTTCATTCCTCAGTCTGTCTCTCTCCCATTCATCCATGAAGACATTGCTCAGTTCTCTTTCCTTTTTATAATCTCCTGAATCATTCCTTCCCAGCACTTTTCTAAAAAGTTTGGCTTTAACCCTCAGTATTTCTCTGAAGTCATTTTTTAAAGATCACTAATTACTTCTTCCTAAGCAAACTCAGTGGCTTTTTTTTCAGAAGTTATTCCACTCTGCTTGGTCTTTGGGCTTTTTCCACTTCCTCGATGAGGGTTAAAAACTGTGGTTTACATTTCTCATGTTTCTCTAGCTATGGTAGGGGATCATTTTATTTAGGTCTTGAATATTTACAGTTGTGGTCTGTGAATATAACCTTCCTCATCTTATTTGAAACAGGAAGACAAGGTATCTGTCCTAAAATATACTGCCCAAAAGGGATCACACACACATATATATATATACACACATTCATGTTGCTATAAAAAAAGTTTTCAATTTATCAGGAAAGTGAGTTTTAGGCCTCATGATTTCTAATCAAAATACTGCATGACAAATGTTCTCTGACATAAACAAAAACAATGAAATGCAGTAAAAGGAACTTGTCCAGGGTTTGCTAAAAAAAAAAAAACCTAGACGTGATCAAGGAGTAGACATTTTGTTGAAAGTAGTAGACTAAGAATGCTAGCATAAAACTTTAAAAAAAACCATAAAATCAAGAAAAAAGCTGGGATTCTCTATAGAAAGTTTGAATTCAGCTTGGAGAAGAAAGAATGCCGTGATTTTCTCTTACATTAGAACAGGTGTATACTGGCCAAGTTTGGAACAAGCAAGAAATGCCTTGAGATACCTTAGGGCAAGGTTAGAAAGATATTTGATTGGGAGGAGTACAGGAGGAGGGGCCACTCAGTCTGTAATCACTGAAGGTAAAAGCTTGAAGTGTTTGCTCCTTATATTTCTGAGGTTATAGCTTCAGTGGAGTGAAAAGGCTACCAGACCTGCCTGAATTAAGAAGATCTTGGCTGGAATCTTGGTTCTGAAGTTGGGTGGAAGATCCTTCAATATAACTTAATTTTCTCATGGGTACTGTGTAACATATAGTTCCTACCTATTTCAGGTTCCCATGAGATCGTCTGCATGGAAGCCCTTGTTTGTCAGGATCTATTTGTTAAACATTACAATACCAAATAAAGGATTTTAAATAAGCATTTTATAAAAAGTTATGGTAAAGCTGTAACTTCTGAAAGCCTGCTTTAGGAAAATAGTGAGACATCTTATCAACTTAAGCAGTAAACAGGAACTTCCAGTGCTGCGTGATGGAAGGTCACCATCTAGAGGCCCAACGGTATTACGATGTTTCACTACAAGCTCCAGTGACTCCAGAGGCTAGGAAGGCAGCCTGTGTAAGAAGCAGCAGGCAGCCCCAAGGAGAGGAGGGAAGAGCAAGACTTTGGCCCTGGAGATTTTGCCTCAGTAAAGGCATTCAAAATTCAAGTTACAAACAAAACAAACTAAACACCGTGCCCTTCAAACTGAGCAACCTGCCAAGTCAAGCTTTGGTCCTGGGCCTCTGCTCACTGTCAGAATATGAATGGACAGTTGAATGTGATAAGTAAACTGATAACTCCTTGGGAGATAAGCTCAGAGACTCCAAACAATGGAGGCTTTTACAATTTCTCGTGCAAAATCTTTGCTTCTTGGGAGTAACTTTACAATTGAAAATTTGGCATGGTTGAGGTGGGTGTTAAAAGAAGCTGTGATATTTTCAGAAAATGAGGAAGAAATAAAGTCACCAGAAGATATCATTGATTCTGAATGATAATCTCTCTTTTTTTTCATTTTCTGAGTCAGGATCACATTCTGTTGCTCAGGCAGGAGTGCAGTGGTGCAATCATGGCTCGCTGAGCACAGAACCTGGGCTCAAGTGATCCTCCTATCCTCCTGAGCAGCTGAGACTATAGGTATGCGCCAATGCACTTGACTATACTTCTCTCTAAGGAGGCAGCATGAGTTACTGAAAGGGCACAAGCTTGAGAATCAAAGCATGATTCAACCTTGAGCTTTGGGCTGTGTAGCTTTGGGCATGCTACTCAACCTCTCTGAGCCTCCTATAGTTGTGAGGATTAAGTGAAATAAGGCTTGGAAAGGGCTTATCCAGTGTCTGGAATGTAACTTGTGTTCCTCACCCTTCTCTTACTTACAAGAAGCTATACTTTAGCTTAAAGAAACTAATTTAACTTAGAAGAAAATAGCATGTAGATTTGGGGTCCAAACCTGGACCTTAACTTTTAGTTGTTATTATAATGAAGAGACCTGGTTTAGTCACTATATGAGTAAAGGAACTGTGATTTTCCCAGCTTTGACTGTGTTTTCTTTCAGGATATAATTTTCTTACTGGTAACATGGAAGAAACAGTTGTATCATCTAGGATAATAGTTCAAAACACACAGGGTTGCTGTGAGGATTAAGTAAGATGTTGTGTAAGATGTCTATATCTCAGTACCACTTAGTAAGGGGTAGCTATTTTCACTATTGTTGATCCTTGTTACTGAAGGGACATCTGTAAGAAGATGGCATAATTGCCATTGATTATTACAGAAATGCCTGCTGGTCTTTGCCACCTTCCTCACAAATCACTCTCTCACCACAGTTCTGCTCTAGAAAGAGCAGCCCTGTGGCTCTCATAAGAGGCCTGCTCTTTTCACACACCATGTATGTGACTAATTTTTTAAAAAACTCACAGCAGAACATGTACTTCCAAATGAGAGCTGTAACCTTCACAGCCTGTGAGAGACTACAGTTCTTCGATAATATCTCTCTGCTTCAGAACTTCTTTCAGAGCTACTGCATATACCTTTGACTATCTCAACAGAAGCAAAAGAGAAAAGGATTTTGGTGAAACAGAGAAAAGATCTTAATGGGTAGCATATAAGTTGCTCTGACGTAGTTTATTGATGTTTTGAGCAATGGCAGCAAATCTTTGCAAAGTGGTACCATTAAAGGAATGCTGCCATTTGGATGTATTAATTATAAAATAATTTTTAAAGTCATTTCTTTAAAAAAATACAAAAGATCTGCATTCAGAGGACCCAAAGGCCTACATCCTTCTGTGTTCCCCTTTTACCTATGTCTGGCCCCCTTTGGCGTCTTGCCTATTCACAGAATCCTAATGTTCTGGCCCATATAAGGAATATCAGGGTTTTAAAAATCAGTTTAATGGTCCTTTCCAGGGGATGTCTCAGAGGGTCTCAACCTCACATATACCAGGGCCTTGCATGCTGACTTGACAAGTGTCTTCTGTTAGGCCCAGTGTTCTAATTTGGGGTACGGAAGTGCGGTGCTAAGTAAAGAAAGCAAAACAGCTGCGAAAGGAGGTGAGACTTTAGCCACAAGCGCCTGCATTCAAGTCCTAGGTCATGGCTTGCAAGGTGCTTAATCATGATGAGCCTCATTTCCTCCTGTGACCCTGCTTGGCCTGCCCCACAGGGCTGTGATGACAACCTAAGCTGAGGATCAGAAGGCCCTTCGTAGGCAGTGAACTCTCCCCTGCACTCTGCACTCACTTGATTTCTTTAGCTCTAACAAGAGGTAGCCCACCCAGCCCACAGTGTAATTTGGGCAAAACAGGGAGGAGGCCATCTCTGAGGCAGTCAGGCTGTGGCCACGCCTGGCTGGAGGCACCTCTCTGCCCATGCCCAACCCTCAGCAGGATGCCCCAGGCTCACCGAGCGCCTCTCCACGCTCCCTTTTTTCCTGTCATTCTTGCCTGGAGTGACATCCAGTGAGCGGTAGCTAGGCGGCTTCTCCTCCTGCCAGTGTGGGGAGTGCGAGTGGCGGCGGTGGGCCCCCCAGCCCTGGGGTTGCCTCTCCTTCTTCTCCTCTTCAGAGCTCCAGGAACTGAGGCCGGAGGGCAAGGGAGGGGAATAGCTGCGGTGCCTGCGACGTCTCCTGTGCCTCTGAGTGCTCTCCCGGGGGCTGGGCCTGTGGGGCCTCTCCTGACAGCGGCTCCTGAAAGGAGAGTGGCTCTGCCGCCAGGGTGCCTCGCTGGACGAGGGGACATCACTTAGGCTGTCCCTGTCTGACCAGTGTATGGGTGACCCATTCAGCCTAGAGCTATGGCGCTTTCCACTCCATGACAGGTCCAGCTCCCTTCTTTCCAATGCCCAAGACTTTGGTCCCTGATTCCGGAGCTCCTGGTGGAAATCAGGGTAATGGTGCTGCCTTCTCCCCTCCCTCAGATCCCAGGGCCTGGAGGGAATTGGGGTGAGCCACTGCTGGTGCAGGGAGTCAGTGGTCCTCCTTGAAGATGACAGGTCTCTGATCAGTGGGGGCAGGTGGATGATTCTGCGTTCCACGACCTCGGAGCCCAGGGAGGACAGCATGCTGCAGGGATGTCTGAATCTGGCTTTGAGGTCAGGGGGCAGAGGCTGGGCCAGGTTGAGGTTCCGCAGTTCATTCTCCAAATACTCCAGGACACCATTGGTGATGGGAGGGCCATTGGTGGTCTGGGCCATTGGCATCTGATGGAGGCTGGACCGCAGGGACAAATCTGAATGGAAACAAGGATAGGACATATAGAACAAATGGCCCAAAACATATGCCTCAGAATCAGGACTTCAAAATGTGACATTGTTTAGCGTGACTCCCTCCCATCCTCCATCAGGAAGATGCCTGCCATATTGGTCACAGAGGCCTTGATGTAGCCCATGCTTCTGGCCTTGCCCTCTGCCCTCCCCTACCCCAAATCTCTGGAGAAGTTTACCTCGCTGCAGCAGCGGGTGCATTGGATAAGATGAAACCTGGGAGCTCCTGTCCGCCCCCCAGTACAGGGGTTTTTCCATCATCTGAGGACCTAGGGCCTGGGCCTGCTTCATGTAGCGGTGGCGGGCCAGGACTGCAGGGGAAGAAGGAGAAATGCAGACCCTCAGCCAGGGCAAGCCCCACATCTCCTACCTCACTTCTCTCCACCTAGGGGCCTTGCAAGAAGCCAGCTTCTCTCCTCAGCTATCTTGTCCATTTTCATCTATCTTGCATGGGAATAAGGGTAAAGGAGGTAGTAAATTAAATGCCCCCCCTCCAACCCTGGCAAGGACCTGGAGTTAAATTCTCTTCAAGACTGCAACTTCTGTACCCCAGGAGAGTATATTCTTAAAACTTGACTTCCACCCTGCCCACTCCTAAGGTCACCCAAAATGCATAGGGAGATGCATAGGGATACTAGCATACAATGAATTATTGGGCCATAGGCCAACAACACTAAAAGTCAAAGGCCAGAAACAGAAGATGTAGATGCAAAGGACTTAGAGGAGGCTGTGAGTCAGGGGCTGGTGGTGTCTGTTCAGAATGAAAGAAAAAGGGAAAGACATGATGCCAAAGATAATGGGCAGAATTACTTGGCAATTGCATGGAAGAGTGTTTCTTGCTGGCATGCCAACCCTGGTGGGAGAAAATCTGTGGGAAGAAGGCAGGGCATATAAAAAGCTCAAGTAGATGCCAGTGGGTCCTTTCTACTCTTCTCCTTGCCTTATTAAGTATTGAGATTGCCCCTAAGTAGGGGGAATTTCTAAGGGGTGGAGTGGAGGCAGGGAAGGGGAAGAGAAATCATTTCCTTTTATGGCAAGGAAAATCATATAAAAAAGTAGCAAAAAAGATACATAGGCATGTCCCTCCAACCCCCTAGGTGGAGCTGGTCTGACGCATTCAATCCACAGTGAATACAAATTAAAAACAAAAGCATTTCGTTGTTTTTGTTCGTGCTTTTCTGTTTTGGGGTAGTTGTGGCTGAGTGCCTCACGTTTCCTAAGGGCTCTGCCTATCCATGCATGTTGGACGTGTACCTGTACATTAAGTGCAGGAAGCGCCAGCCTCAGGCTGTGAATGAGGATAGGCCCCAGCTGGGCGTTCTCAGTTCCTCCTTGCTTCCCTGGACCCTGTGGCTACCCCTAAAACAGCAGGGCCCAGGCGCAGTAGAAGGGGCAGAAAGCTGGCATCCTGAATGCAGCCACATAGGGTGTAGGGTTTGCCAAGGCCAGCAGCAAAGCGGCCATCCAGTGGGCTGCCCAGTGATTCCAGTATAAAACTTCCAGCACAACAGGAAGTGGTTGTAACAGAGTCCTCAGAAGTGTTGGGAGCTCCAGCCCTCAGGATTAGTCACAGCCTTGCCTGGAGGAAATCCAATGCAAACTTGCAGCAGCTCCCCTAGCAGAGTCCTCTCCCTCTGCAGAGACGCCTCTCCCTAGCTCCCTCTACTGGCCACCACCAACACACACACTGGAATGCCCAGCCTTATATATATAATTTACTTTGCATAAGCTAGCTAGTTCTCTGAAAAAGCTCTTCATGTGGGAATCCGATGAGGAAGTTGGGCTCAGAGAGATTACCTTCCCAGCATAAAGTTCCACAGCTAGCGACTGACAAAGCCAGGGTGTGAACCTGTGAGACGCCCAACCCTATGCTCTTTTAGGGTGTGCCACACAACCAAGTCCCCAGACTCCTTTATTTACTGTGATGAACCAAAAAACCTTCCGTGCAAGCACCTCCTCAATTTCTCTCTCTCTAACTCAGCTCCAGACCTTTCAAAGTCCACTCCAGACTAGTCTCTCCTTCCACGACCTGGGGACATCTGATTCCAAGGAGAACAACCCTACCCACTGTTCCCTTTAATGTAATTCTTGCTTCTTCCAGATAGTTCTGTTCCCATTTAGCCACTCCTTCTGCTTCCTTCAATTGAGGAGAAAGGCAGAGTCGTGTTTCCTCCTTGCTTCTCAAATGATTTTTTTTCATCAATGGGACTCTCTCCACAATTAACTCCCTGACAACCCTTCCATATCCTCCATGAGTGTTTCTGACATTTCCCTGAGACTTTTTTCACCAAGTCCAGAGATTAACTCACCTGCTCCCTTAGCTGCCACAATCTTTTTTCTAGGGTCTCACCGTTCCTTGTTGCATTAAAACTAATTAAACAGGATGGAAGACACAGCCTTTGAGCTCTTCTCTTGCCTGCCTTCACCCGCATCCCTGGAAACAGCCCCACGGGATTTCTAGACTATCAGGGGTATCTGGTGCTCACCTAACAGGGAATCAGATAGGCAGTAAAAGAAACCTGGACAAGGCAACAAAGCTGCAAAGGACTTCCAATAAGTTATCGCTTAGCCTCCGTGGAGTAAAATCTGCCTTAGTCACTCTTAATGAGCTTGTTAAAATACAGCTTTCTGAGTCTCACTCCCAGGGACTCTCCTTCCGTTGGTCTAATGCAAAGCATGAAAATTTGTATTTTCAACAAGCTCCCTGTTTTAATAATGTAGCAGTCAACTTGGAATTGACTGCTGAGGATTCTCAATAACACTTTGGTCACCATTCCTTATGGTCCCCTCTCTACTCTTACAGAACCCATTCTTGCCCTTCTTTTAACCTATGGTCACTCAGTCTATTTGCTTTCTGCAAAACTACCAGTCTTTCCTGACTTGACTGACAAGTCATTTCTGGGACATCCTCAGCTGCTTCCTAGAATGCCATGCCCCTTGGAACTCTTGTCATTTTAGCTTTAGGAAACTACCAGCAGATGCTTCTTGGTCCCAATCAGGCAACTGACCTCAAATAGCCCTCCTCAATAGGGCTTTCCTTGTTGATCTCTCAAACATGCATTGTCTCCTCTACAGCAACAGGTTAAACATTCCCCACCTCTTAGGTCTTCCCCTGGCTGTGAACTTTCTGCTGATGACTTCATCTCTATTGACAAAGAGGAACCAGCCCTGAACATGGAGCCAAGAAACCTACGTTTAGTCCAGGGCCCACTGCTAATATGCCATAACACAGTAATTGTGGAAAAAGCTCTCTCAACCTCACTCCCTCAGCTGTGAGGCGAAAGGGGATGGGGAAGGAGAGATTGGAGATTCTGTGTGGCTTGTGGCCTACTGCAGGGCATCCCTGGAGGTTTTCCAGTAAGGAGGGCCAGTAACTGCTCTAGGGATGAAAGCTGTTTCTCCACTTCTCATGGAAAAAATTTAAAAAGCTGTTTACCACTACCAGATGAACTATCTAAAATTTGGTCTTATTTTTCATTTTTCTCCTCTCTAATCCTTTTTTAACTCTCACTAGAAAGGGGAGCAGGTTGGGGAGGTGGGATGTGATCAAAGAAATATCAAGAATCACTGGCATGTTTCTTGAAGCTTCCTTCTGCATCTAGAATTTTGATTTGCTGAAATCAAGTCAGGAAGACATGAGCTCCCTCAGCTTCCTCCTTTAGGTCTTAATCATCTTCCACATTGTAATGACTTCCTTTCTGTCTTCAGAGGCCAGGCTGCTTCCCTTTCCCTTCTTCTCCCTTTCTAAGGCCAGTTCTTTCCCTGTAGGCCTGAGGCCACTCCTACCAGCTTCATCACTCATCAGTGACTACCTCCGTTCTCTTTGTTTTTTTCAGACAGAGTCTTGCTCCATTGCCCAGGCTGGAGTGCAGTAGCATGATCTTGGCTCACTGAACCCTCTTCCTCCAGGGTTCAGGCAATTCTCATGTCTCAGCCTCCCGAGTGGCTGGGACTACAGGCGCCAGCCACCATGCCCGGCTAATTTTTGTATTTTTAGTAGAGATGGGGGTTTCACCTCGCTGGCTGGTCTTGAACTCCTCCACATGACTCGATGTCCCCAAATGCTGGGATTACAGGCATATGTCACCACACCTGGCCCACCTCACTTTTTTTTTGAGACGGAGTTTCGCTCTTGTTACCCAGGCTGGAGTGCAATGGCGGGATCTCGGCTCACTGCAACCTCCACCTCCTGGGTTCAGGCAATTCTCCTGCCTCAGCCTCCTGAGTAGCTGGGATTACAGGCACGTGCCACCATGCCTAGCTAATTTTTTGTATTTTTAGTAGAGATGGAGTTTCACCATTTGACCAGGATGGTCTCGATCTCTTGACCTTGTGATCCACCCGCCTCGACCTCCCAAAGTGCTGGGATTACAGGCGTGAGCCACCGCGCCTGGCCCACCTCACTTCTTAATGTTTCACTTTACTCACTTGCTATTAACTTTGGTTCTTTGCTTATAAATATGCTTTGGATTACCTTATTCTACAAGCACCAACAATAACCTCTTACTCCCCCTAACCAAAGAGTTTATTTAATAACTCATGCCCTTCCATGTAATTCTTGTCAATAAACTTCTCAGGACAGTCTGACCTAGTGACTCACTTTGAAAGTGACCTCACCGGCTTAAGTTCAGGGATCTTTGTGGTCTACGTTTCTTGATTTTACTATTTTTTAAAAAATGAACCTAATTACTCAGGAGAAACAACCCTCCCCCAGAACCTCCATTTATTGTCTTACTAATAAGGGATGCACTTATCATTTGTGTTAGTTCTGTCCCCAGTCTTGCCTGCTTTTAGTGACCCATGGACCTAGGGAGTCTAAGCAAGCATCTTGGGTGGGTTTTTCTTATCTCATCCTGCATATTATGACTCCGGTGACAGTGACTTCTCCATGGCCTCCCTCCCTAAGATCCCTGAAAGGTAGGGGGCCCCAGAGTCCAATGTTGCATCCTCTGCTACTTTTACCCCCCTATGGTGTCTTAGCCAGTCCCATAGTGATCCACCTACAGAGGCTATGACAGTCTCTGCTGTAGGAATGTAGACTCTCACAAGACAACATGGATTCATCACCGCATAGCCACTGCTGCTTCCTAATTGTGGGGCTTTTCTGACCTTCGGTCCCCTGTCATTAAACAGGGATGACATCTGCCCTCCAGGGTGGTTGTGAGGATTCAGTGAGGAAATGTATGCAAGGGGCCTACACATCAGACATCCAATAAAAGTTAGTTCTCTTTTCCTGTAAGACAGCAACCTCAGAGCACAGGCCTGAAACCAGACTCAAACACACTGGAGACCAGGTTTTGTTTCTATCTTAATAGGTCATTCATTAGTTTTCCCTTAAAAATTTTCCTTTCAAATGGATCAAACTGATAAGAGTGGTTATCTCTGGGTACTCAGATGAGTCATTACAGTTTGCTGAATTTCTCAAATTTCTACAAGATAGTACTTTATTTAGATCATCAGGAAAAGGAAATGTTATTGTAAACAAAAGCCAAAAATAATTTAAAAACTTTCCATTTAAAGCAGTTGGTGCTATTCCATGTATTTGACTAAAAAATATCTTTATAGAATAATTTTGTATTCTTGTGCCTTTACCATGTGTTTCATAGTCAACATATTTTAGGGCATAATTCAGTTACAGTTCTGTTTTAAAGGATCAGCTGTTAGTCCAGAGGAAGATCACATTTAAAGCAAGATCATCTGCTCCCTCTTCCCTTGCCCTAACTCATGGGTTCTCAAAGTGTGGGCCCCCTACCAGCAGCTACACATCACCCGAGAACTTTTGAGATAAGAAATTAAAATAAAGTTCTAAGCCCTCAAATGACTAACAGACCCTCTCTTGGCCAAGGGGACCCCAGAGAAACCTTGGAAGCTAATAAGTTCGTGGTCATGACGAGATGGGAGGTCAGACATGCCTCATTATACCCCTTCCCCCACTGACCAGCCCTTTCAAAAGACTCCATGTGATAATATCAATTACTAGCTGATCTTCCCAGGTAGAACAAAGACAAGATGTGGTCTAATTCTTCTTTTCCCCTTTTCTTTTTTTTTTCTTTTTTGTTTGAGACGGAGTTTCACTCTTATTACCCAGGCTGGAGTGCAGAGGCGAGATCTCTGCTCACCGCAACCTCCTGCCTCAGCCTCCGGAGTAGCTGGGATTACAGATGCATGCCACGATGCCCAGCTAATTTTTTGTATTTTTAGTAGAGACGGGGTTTCACCATGTTGACCAGGATGGTCTCGATCTCTTGACCTCGTGATCCACCCACCTCGGCCTCCCAAAGTGCTGGGATTACAGGCTGGGGCCACTGCGCCCGGCATCTTTTCCCCTTTTCTAATGTTCACCTTATCTTATGTAAAATATAGATTTGCTGGGCACTGAAGTTTCACAAGTATATAACCATTTGTTTCATTGCTGCCCCTGACTTCTTAAGGAAAATGTATAAATACTGAACCTCCTGGGAACCTCTTTGAAAAAAAACAGCCACAGATGCATCTGTGACCTGTGTTTTTTCCCTGGGTATGCCCTTAAGCTAAACCTCAGTGATCTGAGTCTTATGCCCCAGTCACTCATTTTGATTGCTAGAGAAATAAAAAATCTCAGGTCCTACCCTGGACCAATTGAGTCCGAAAACCTGGAGGTGGCAGCCATAAATTAAGGAGGAAAAAAAACCAAAAACGAAAACAGAAATCATCCCCACCTCCTGACCTCTAGGGAGGGGAGAGTGGCTGAAGGTTGAGTTGATTACCGATAGCCAATGACTCAATTAATCATGCCTATGTAACGAAGTCTCCATAAAAACTCAAAAGAACTGGGTTCGAGGAGCTTCCTGGTTGCTGAAGACAGAGGTACTGGGAGGGTGGCATGCCTGGAGAGGACATGGAAGCCACCCCCCCACCACATACCTCGCTCTATACAGCTCTTCATCTGGCTGTTCACTTGTATTCTTTTAAATATCCTTTATAATAAGTGGGTAAACATAAGAAAACTTTTTCCTTGAGTTCTGTGAGCTGCTGTAGCAAATTAATTGAACTGGAGGAGACAATCGTGGTAACTTCCAATCTAGAGCCAGTTGCTCAGAAGCACAGGTGCAACCTACTAGTTGCAACTGCAATTGGCATATGAAGTAGGGAGCAGTCCTGTGGGACTGAGCCTTCAACCTCTGGGATCTGGTGCTGTTTCAGGTAAATAGCATCAGAGTTGAGTTAAATTATAGGACATTTAGTTGGTGTCTGTTAAAGAATTCTTTTTTTGTGTGGGGAAAACACACACAATTGGTGTCAGAAGTATTGAGTGGCATGTAAGAATAGGAAAAAATAGTGTTGTTTTGCTTTACAAGTGGCCTTCTCTCTTACTGCTTCCTTTAAACCACTCCCTCCAGCCCACCTTATGTCCAAATGAGGTCAGTGCTAGAAACGAAGATTGAAGCACAGATACATCAGGACTGCTGAAGAAATGCCATTAGTAGGCAGAGCTATTTGAGAGAGGGTTTAGGCAGCCTGCGAAGTGAACAGGCAAATGTCCTCCTTTCAGCCACCTTCCATGTGGCTCTTTGGCATCCCCAAGCACAATTTTCAGGGCTGAGGCTAATGTCCTCTGGCCCTGTGATGGGAGAAGGCCATGGAGGAGAACCTGGAAGAAACTTTGACCTGGGCACTTGAAGCTGATCTGCTTGGGGTCCTGGGCCCTAATCTACTCCATGCACTGCTTGTCTGTCCCCTCTCACCTTCCTCAGGACAGCAGCAGCGGGCGGGACAGCAGGGGCAGCGGATGTAGCAGCAGCAATACTGAGGACAGCACTGGCACCAGCACACTCCGATCAGCAGCAGGAGGAGAAGAGCTCCCAGGATGATGAAGATTACTGTCAGCCAGTCTGCAGGGAAGACACCAAGCAGGGGTTGAACTAAATATTCAGGGGAACACTTCCAGTTCTGATATGCTAGAGGTCTCATAAATACAGCTCTTGAACTACAAGTTAAAGTTGAGCAATATGCTGGCAAAAAATTAAAAGTTTAGCTTTGATAAGGGAAGATCAGAGGTTGATAATCCAATGACAAGAACTTAGGCTTGCTTATTTCTGTTTTTTTTTTTTTTTTTTTTTTTTCCTGTAAGTAGAAGTGTTACAGCAGTGAGGCTGACTGAATAGAAAGCTCCAGTAGCACTTACGCAGGACGATGAGTTTCACCTCCTTATCAGGGTCTCCTGATGTGTCCCCTGGAGCCTCAATGGTACAGTAATAGACTCCATGGTCCCACCACATCACTTCGTTAATCACAAGATCTGCTCCTACACAGTAAGGAAGAAGAAAGTGCCAGTGTCAGAGGAGAGGGCACTGGTTCCTAACCTGTGACAGCCTCAAGACCTGGGCAGCATGGCAAGACCTTGTCTCTACAAAAATTTTTTTTTTTAATTAGCCAGGCATGGTGGCCATGTGCCGATAGTCCCAGCTTCTCTGGAGACTGAGGTGGAAGGATCGCTGGAGCCCAGCGCTTGAGCCCAGCCACTAAAGTCAAGGCTGCAGTGAGCTATGAATGTGCTAATGCACTCCAGCCTGGGCATCACAGTGAGATCCTATCTCAAAAAAAGTTAAAATCAAAATATTGTTTAAGTCGCTAGTATATGGGGCTTTTACTTACAATCAAACCTAATTCTAACTGGTACAGTGGGTTTGATTATTTAGCTGCATTGCAGATAAGGAAAATCAAGACTCAAAGGAAGTGGCTTAATAACATACTCATAATGCTCATCAGAGGTAGGTTCAAGCTCACATCTCTCTGCCTCAAAGTTGATACTGTTAACCACCAAGCTTTCCTGTCTTCTCTAAATTGGAGGGAAAAACTCCACATTCTGGGTCCCTCATCAGCCTAAAATGAGCAGATATCGCTTGATCCTGAAGGACAGGTATGAGATAAACTTGAATAAAGATAAAATGCCAATATTTTAAGAGTAAATGTAACTCGAGAAAAGTTTCAGTTCTTGTGGGTCCTCAATGTTGTGTACCTCCATTAGGATAGATGAATTGTTTATATATAATTGCTTTTCATTCATTTAAAAAAAAATTTTAAGGTCAGAGGTATATGTGCCGGTTTGTTACATAGGTAAATGTGTGCCATAGTGGTTTGCTGCACAGATCATCTCGTCACATAGGTATTTAGAGCTGTTCTTCCTGATGCTCTCCCTCCTATCCCCAACACACCCTCCAACAGGCCCTAGTGTGTATTGTTCCCCTTATGTGTCCATGCGTTCTCATCATCCAGCTTCCACTTATGAGGTCATCAGGGTGGAAAAACAATCTACTGGATGGGAGAAAATTTTGTAATCTATCCATCTGACAGATGTCTAATATCCAGCATCTACAAGGAACTTAAAACAAAAGGTTAATATTTATGTTCAAGTTTAGTAAAGTCAGCAAACATTCACTAAAGCCCTTTCATGGGTCCAGCACTATGTTAGGCAATGAGGAGATGTAAAGAGAAACAAGACCCTTTTCTGTCCTGAAAGGGTTTAAAATCCAGTCAAAGGCAGCCTCCATGTAAAGTGCAGCAGCAGTTCCAACTCTCCGACCCACAGTAAGGACCAGGAAACCTTAGCATTACAGACTTATTTCTGCTAAGTTCGTGGAAATATCTGTAATTCTTTATTATCTGTTTGTCAAGAAATATTTATTGAGGAAATGAAACAAAAATGTAAGGTCACGCACCACTGGACCTAACTTTGACTTCTGTTTCCTTCTCTTTCTACGTCAATCCCTACAATTTTTTCCTACCCACTATTTTCCAAACCTGCTACCTTTCCCAGAAATAAGCTTACCCCAGACTTGGAAAAATGGTGAAAGTGCTTTTAAAAAATTCCCCCTCAGAGCATGATGTATATTGTAAACCTGGTCTAATTTTTATTGGAGAAATAAAGAGCATTTTAGGAGTGTCAGAGCAAGAAGGGTATTCAGATACTTTAAATAACCTAAGGACTGATTTGTCAGGGTCATCTCACATGATGCAAACATAGGCATAAAAGTGTCAGAAACAAGGGCTCCAGGAAGTCCCAACAAGTCTGGAGGAAGAAATAGAAACAGAGGGAAATACTTATGTTTCTCTGTGGGAGTAAGAAAGAAGTAGGGTTTGAGCCAAAGGTGGCTGGGAGTGGAAACAGTGGAAAATATATACCTTCATGTTTTTAGAAAAAAAACATAATAAGAGCAGGGACTAGCATGGAGGTGGACTTCCATCCTTCAGAAACTGTACAGGTAATTTTGTTAATTAAAGAGGCTTGAAACTGTGAGGTCAGATAAGAATAAATTCTACTGGCTTTGGAAAAGGTAGAACCACCTTTGATCTTTGAAGATGCCCCTGGAGACTAAAAAAGAAGGACAGCTGTACCCTTAGGTCGAGGGCTGGCTTGGGGAAATCAGAGGCCAAATGTAAAAAAAAATAAAAATAAAAATAAATCAGACAGGTATTATAGACAAAGTTGGAAGCAATTATTAAACTGGTTCCCTTTAAATGAGCTACCTTTAAACAGTCAGAATATTCACTGATTCCTTGATATTGTAGCTATGGGCACCAGGAGTGGGTCTTGTTCCCCTTTTCCCCTTTTAACTAGCAAATATTTATGTAACACAGCACATAAAGCCCACTGAAATCGGCTCTGAATTCTGTGTTGACAATCTATGGCAGCAACTGTGGGTTACACGATAGAAATATGGGGAGCTAAGCCATTTATCCAAAAGTATACTGAGTGATAACTAAGGCTCACTGTCTACTTTCTGTTTGCTAAATGCTTTATACGTATCACCTTTGTCCCCAGAAATCTCCATTACTAGGTACTAGGGCAAGTCCCATTTTACAGAAATGGAGGCTGAAAAAATTGTAGAGGTTTGCCCAAGTTCATATACCCTGAAAATGCAGATTTGGGATGCACACCCGCACCTAACTCCAGAGTCAGAGCTCTCACCACTACTCACTGCACTGGGCACTAAGAATAGACAGGCTTTAGACATGGCTCTCATGTATTGCACTACATATTCACTTTGTAGTAGGGAGGAGGATACCATGATGCTCATCATTCAGATGTGGAAACAGAAGCCAAAGAAAATAACTGATCACTGGTCACTGAGCCAGTGAGAGGAAGCAGTAGGACTCTCACTTGGGGCTTTTTAGTCCAAGCCCAGTGTTCTTTCCTCTATCAGTGGAGGACAGTAGTCTCAAGGTGGTCATCTGCTCAGAAGCCCCTATTTCTTCCATACGAACAACGGGAATAGCTGGAGGGAAACTCAGGGATCTGGGGTTTCAGTAGGCCCTGAGAGCAATTTGCAGAAGGACTCAAAGAAATCTGATCCATACCTTAGCCCTGAATCTCAGGAAAGCAAAGGAAACCACTCACCCCTAGACCTTTAGCCAAAGCTATAGCTAGCTACAGAACAGCCTCTGGTCCAGAGAAGTAACTTCAGCTGGTGCAGCACATTCTATGAAGCTGGCCCTTTCCTCAATGACAGTAACCAAGTAGACCAATAGGCAGCAGAAAGCAATGGGAAATCCCATGCTGACTCAGCCTGCCAGGAGTGGTGTGTGCACCTCCCCGCTACCCCCAGTTCCCCTGCTGCCTCCCCCACACTCACGGTTCTGGATGGTGATCTTGCGCTGCCGGTAATCTACGCCCAGCACGGGCTCATTCTGCCCCCGCCGCTGTGCCACAATGCGAACTTCCCGCTGGTTGTCGTTGCAGTCATTGGATGGATCCTGGCCCAGGGATAAAGCTGCCTGGTATGCTGAGAAGAGAGGGCACACTAGAGCCACACAGCACTAGGGGATTCCCGCAAAGAAAGGTGCCCTTTCTGCTCCAGGCATGAGGCATAGTGAAATGTCTCAATTTTTCCCAAGACTATGCATCCCCCGGAACTCTTGTTAATCATGAAAAATTCTGATTCTGGAGGTTTAGAGTGGGATCTGAGATTCTCATTTCTAATATGCTCCCTGGTGTACCAGGTACCACACTTTGAGCAACCAGATTCCTGACCCCCTAAACAGGCCATCATTTGCCAGCTGTATCCCCATCTCCTGCTCCAACTTCCTTTTTCAAAGTCATCCCAGCCTCTCTCTGCTCCAATGGGATTCATCCACCTGCCCTTAAAATATAAGGTCTGAGAGCCGTTAAATCTGCCCCTGGCAAATGCCTGCTTCCCTAGCCTCTCCTCCCTGGCCACTTAACCCAGCCATTTTAAGAGTAAACCCCAGGAAACATGCCTCAATTTAGAAAGGAGTCCTTTGGGGACAATGTCAGGTTCATTGGGTGGCTCAGACAGCTCTTGAGGTTCTACTCAAATCATATTGTGAGACATTAGCTCAAGGACTCAAAAAGGTAAAGACCGATGCCTCCCTCTCCCTTGGCTTCTTCTCAGTAAGCTTCTTCCTACCAACAGGGTGTCTGCTTCTATTCTCAAAACGTCCAAAAGGTTAATTGTCTTGGTCCTGACAGTGGGGTGGTTCTGGGGGTTCCTTTGTTCTTTGAGAGAGGTCAGAAATGGATAACCAGGAAAGAGCTCTGATCCAGACAGCACAACCCACATGCCTGGAGCAGTTGTTACTGAAAGGCAGGACCGGCCAATTCTAAGCAGGCGTTGTGCAGCACTAAGAGACTTCCCACAGTGAAGGGGCTGTCTGCAGGGCACTAGAGGGCTTCGTTAGCAGAGGAATGACCATCTCCCTGAAGGCAGACTGAAGAAGGGAATGTAGCAAGGAGCAAGAGGCTTCACAAATGACCATTACTCATTTGTGCTGAGTGTAGAGTCTCCTTGCCTGCATTCTAAGGTTGAGGGGGTGACCAGAGGCGGGTTTGCATCCTCAGCGCAGTGCACTGGCATGGAACCAGGAACGGACTGGGAGGCAGGACTTTCGCCTAATGTCTGAATTTCCTTAAATCTTTTTAGAACAAAGCAGGACAAAAATTTTAAAATAAACTAGTATGTAATCTTGAATACATTATCTCACCTACCTGGGCTCCGTTTGTTTATCTATAAAACAGAGGAACTGCATTAGGTGATCTTTGTGGCTTCTCCTCACTACAAAGATTTGTGATCCTAAATAATCCCTAAACTCTAACCACAGTGTGTCACAGAAGTGTCTGGGACCCACAGAGGGCCAAGGGGGTGAAGATACTCACATGCTGAGTAGTAGTCAAAGATAGGGTCCTTGCAGAAGGACTTGAAGCGCCATGTCACCACCACATCCTGGAGCTGGGCAGAGGTGGTGTAGTCACATTTGAGGATGACAGAGGCAAACAGGGTAACATAGCGTTCTGTGTGCTGGACCGTCACAAGCAAGGACAGGCACCCTGAAGCCAAGAGCAGGAGACAATGCTGAAGGCGACCTATGTCAGTTCATGGGTAAGAAAAGCAATGCAGATGAGTAAAACACACTGCTTGCCCTCCTGCCTGACCCTGGCAGGGAGCTCACAGGCAAAGTCTGGTTTCTTACTCCCCTGGGAAGGCTATGGGTGGGGTGGGGTAGAGAATGTGCTCAGCAGCCTCAGTGGGGCATAGGAAGAATGGAGTGAGGAAAACTCCCAGGAACTCACAGTGCATTAACAGTGATGATACAGCTCACTATTTCAATACAATTCGATAAAAGAATTGTATCAAAATAAGGCCACATTGGTACTGGAGTAACACTGCTCATATATTTTGTTTCTTCACCTCGTTTCTCTTCTTAAAATGATTTCCCATTTCCTAAGGATAAATTTTAAGCTCCAAGACCAGGCCCACGAAGCCCGTTAGTTCTGCCTGCTGCCCATCTCGTCTGCCCCATGTCCCTTCACGCCCCATCTCCCACCAGAGGCGTCAGCCATTCTGAACCTGCTTCAGTCCTTCCCATGCTAAGACCGTTCTCTTCTCTAGGTGCGGCTCTCTCAGGCTGGAGCACTCTTCCATATTACATGCCACTGCTCCATTCTCTTCCCTGGGCTAATTATGATTCACTGCAATCTCCACCTCCTGGATTCATGCGATTCTCCTGCCTCAGCCTCTTGAGTAGCTAGGATTACAGCCACCTACTACCACGCCTGGCTAATTTTTGTATTTTTAGTAGAGACGGGGTTTCACCATGTTGGCCAGGCTGGTCTTGAACTCCTAACCTTAAATGATCTTAACCACCTGCCTTGGCCTCCCAAAGTGCTGGAATTTCAGGTGTGAGCTACCACACCTGGCCTGAACCACCACACCTGGCCTTCTTTTTTTTTTTTTTTTTTTTTTTTTTGAGATACAATCTTGCTCTATTGGCCATGCTAGAGTGCTGAGGCACAATCATGGCTCACTGCAACCTTGACCTCCTGGGTTCAAGTTATCCTCCTGCCTCAGCCTCCCAAGTAGCTGGGACTATAGGCATGCATCACCATGCCTAACTTTTAAAATTTTTAGTAGAGATGAAATCTCACTATGTTGCTCAGGCTGGTCTTGAACTCCTAATCTCAAGCAATCCTCCAGCCTCAGCCTCCCGATGTGCTGGAGTTATATGTGTCAGCCGCTGCACCCAGTGATAGACTTAAATTTCGAACAAAGTTCCAGGAGATGCTGATTCTACTGCTCTGAGGACCTACTTTGAGAACCATTGGTGTAGACTCTGTTTAAAACACACACACACACACACACACACACACACACACACACACACGCTTTAGGCTCAAATATAGCTGGGCTCAAATTAAACTTTAATACTTACTTGAACTTTGGACAAGTTATTTACTCTCTCTAAGCTTGTTTCTGAGCCATGAATGGAGATGATGATAGTGCTAGCCTCATCAGGTCCTTGCAAGAATGCAATGAGATAATCCACTGCTGGTTCTTGGCATGAAGCCTGGTATATACGCTACCACGTTAGTGATGGTGTTTGAGTCTCTTCTCTTTTTCTCCTTATTATAAGGGCCAAGGAGCAAAACGTTGGAGTTGGGGTTTTCTGCAACAGAGTTTTCAAGTGGAGCCACCTTCATTTTGACTGAGTTTCTCCCACAGACAAAACAAATATAGTCATTATCTTATAGAGCAGTTGGTGGGCCTGTCTCGAAGGCTAGAATCACATGATTCTTGGGTCCTGCCTGACCTACTGGTCACAGCCCTTATAAGACTGTCCTCTTAAACTTCTAATCGGCACCTGCATCTGGGTTCCTCATCCATAGAAAGACAGCTGAATGCTGTTCAGGACAGGCACTCACAGAAATGACCTGGTGACCTATTTCCAGGACTGGGCTGTGATGCAGATGCCCCATGACAGATGTGCTTGATAGAGGCTCTGCAGCAGTGCAGGGGAGAGCTGTGGGCAGGAAGACTTCATGAAAGGAAGAGATTTAACCTAGGCTCCAAGAAGCGGGTAGGATTAAGATTACACACGAGAAGTAGGAAGAAGGCAGAGAAACTCACGGTTTCAGTAAGCAAGAATGGAGGGAGCAAAGAGCCTTATCAGGAAGGGGCAGTTACCTGGGCAACCTGGAGCAAACCAATCTAGCTGTGTCTCCAGCTTTATGGAAGACAAGGAGACAAATAAGGCAGGGCTGGTGGTGGTGAATTGGAAGTGGGTGATGGGGTGAAGTCTAAATCACATTCCAGTGTCAATTTTTAATCTATGGATCATCACTGAAGTCTTTTCTGAAGAACAGTAATAGGGTGAAAGTGGTGTTTTTAGGAATATGGACAACTTACCCACTCAACTGTAAACCAAAAAATATCATTTAAAAATACACTTTGAGTAGTTTTGGGGAAAACAGCTGCTGTCTTCATAAGCTATAGATTCCCAGAAATCAGGCCAATTAGAATGGAAGGGCCAGTGACCAACATCTCAAGTCTAACCTGGATTATTTCTTAATCTAATTTTCGGTTCTTTTTCCTCCTCTCTGACCACCCCTTTCTTTTTTGTTTTTGTTTGTTTTCTTCCAGAACTGACCTGAAACAGACCTCGGAGATCTCACCAACCAGTTTTATCTGAACAGTAGAAACAGCCACAGATAAGATTTTCACATTGAATAGAATGCCATTGTCAACACTGGCTTATTTTGTTACATAACACACGTACTGATGAGAAGAAAGAGGAAAACACTGATTTATGGTCTAAATAAAATCTTAGGTTCAACAGCGTCTTAAAATATATACTATATGTGATTCCTGGGAGAAGATTAGCTGTGTTTGCTTCCTATATAACAAATCTGAGGCTTAGAAATTTAAGTGACTTGTCTGTGGTCATTTATTTTCTAAGACGGTCAGAGTAGAGATTCTGTTCCTGAGCAGTGTCCTTGCCTCAGCTTGGCTATTCTTTAAATAAAAGATAGTTGGTATTCAGAAGTTTGCAAATAACCGGATCTGGGGGCCAGGCTATAATTAAATATAATTGGTGCAGTCACTCTGACACAGTGAAATAAAGAACATGTAGGCTTTTTATTTGCCTAAATGATAATTTGACATGAATAGCCATTTACTCAACACTCTAGTCATCATTATTTGTATAGAGGTAGAGCTTTTGGGAGCAGGGAGGCCAGGTTTGCTGGGAGTCAGAAAAGGGAATTTGGTTTGAGTCAGAGGTCGCTGTGGGGTAGCTTTGAAGATTGCAGAATCTGACATCTTTGAGGTGCGGAAATGGAGAGAAAGGTGATCGCTCAGCTCCCCTTCCATGAATGCCCTCATTGTGGGCAGACCACAGCTGGGGTGACACAGCTCACCTTTACCAACGTCAGCACTGACTTTGCTGCTTGGGTACTCTTTTACCTTCTCTTCCATTTCATCCCTGTGTGAATAGCAAGCCTTGATATCTACCATGTTTGACAACTTCTGGCCATCTTGAGCTCACTCACACTCTCTCCAGGGATCTGCCAGCCCCACAGCATCCTGCATAGACCTCAAACCTCCACCCCCTGCTCTCTCTCTCTCTCTCTCTCTCCTCTCTCTCTCTCTCTCTCTCTCTCTCTCTCTCACTCTCTCTCTCTCTCTCTCTCTCTCACACACACACACACACACACACACACGAAGAGTTCTGGGAGAAGAGGTACTGAACAACCCAGCACTCTTCTCCCATCTTCTCAGTGGTTGCTGCTGGCCCTCAGCATCTATTATGTACCAGGTGATGTACATTCTTTGTCTCTGATTCTCACAAACTCCCTCAGCTGGGCAACAGCCCTGCTCATCTATGTGGGCAAAAGTTCAGAGTATAAGCTACACCCCCACGGGCCCAACATCACATACCTAAAAAGTGTCAGCGTCAAAATTTGAACTTGGGCCTTGCTGACACGAAATCCCAACTTTTCCCAGGCAGGCAAGCTTAATCTTCCAAAGTAGAAGTGAGGCACCAGGCTCTTAAAAAGTAGGTGGATTTTCCAGATTGGAAGGGAAAGAAAGGCAGTAGCAGAACAGCCCATCTCAAAGGGAAAAATCCCCCCACTTTCTTTTCCTATATCCTCTAACTTCTCTGTAAATCTAACCACACTGGGCATGCACAGAACTAAAGAGGTAGAGTTTTCAAGGAGGGACCCAAAGCAGCAGAATCAGGCTGAAAATATGAACAGGATCAAAAAGAGAAATGCCCTGATTGTAGTCATCCTGGTTGCAACTTTGCTCTTTCAAGCTTACTGTAAGTTTTCAAATTCTTAAAATTTTTTCTATTCTTAAATTTCCTTTATCCTGTGGCATTTTCTCCTCCCCTGTTCATTGACTCCTAATTTCTTAGCTGTCTCTATCGTTTTTCTCTTAAAAACATTAATCTAGAGCCTGACTCCCTGAGTTCAGATGCTGTCTCCACTCCCTACCGGCTGAGTGGTAATGTGATAGAAATAGCAGTTAATTAAACACTCTAGTCAACATTAGTTGCTGGGGGTCAGAAAAGGAAGTTGGGTTAGTCAGAAGCTGGCATAGCAAGTTATTTTCAAATGATTGTTTTCCTTTGTATGCAAAACTGAGATGATAATAATACCTGCCTCATAGGGTTGTGGTGAGCATAAAGAAGTTCTCCATTCAGCAAAGAACTGGGCATATAGTAGACATTCAATAAACACTGGCTATCATTTGTATCATTTGTACTTGTCTTGACTACTTTAGGAGTTCCAGATCCACTGAGACCAGCATGTAAAAGCATTTTTTAAAAATGATACAAGTGTAAACTATCATGATTGTCTTCTCTTTGCAAAATGAGTTGGTGCCTCAAAAGCTTCCAAAGTTTCGTACCTTTGTACCCTGACAAACTCATTCACAGCTTCCCCTGCTCTGTGAAAGAAGGGAAGGAGACCTATCACATAAGTAGAAAGGAAACTTCAGATGAGATATCAGAGCTCATGGGAAGGAGAGAAAGGGAAGGGGATTCTCTGTTTCCCACCATCAGGTACTTTCCAAGGCCAGGCTGCTGTGCTGAGTGGGGACTACCATCCTACTCTAAAACAGAAGGAAGCATCAATGAGGGCAGAGTATCTTTACAACTAAATGCCATCTGTTCCTAAATACGTGCACATCTTTGCACATTTTTTTTTCTTCCACATTTCTTGTGTAGTATTAGATTGGGCAAGAAGAAGTTTTAGTTTCTAGAAGATACTCACACAGAATAGAAATGTAGGCATATATTTTAAAGTATTTTTAAAATTAAGAACTGTTTTGAAGGACTAAATGGCCCTTCCTCTCCTTTCCCATGAAGGGGACTGCTTGGAAGGGATGGTAGGCAGGGAGGAGAGTCAGGTCTTTGCTGGCAAGGGGCAGTGGCCTGGGACTGATGCTAATGGGAGTTCTTGATTTCCTGAGTGTTTTCCAGGCATACAGGCACCCTGACTCCATGCAGCAGGTTAACAAAATGCACACAGGTTCAGTCCTATCAGAGTTTATGTCTGAGCAGGCTATCTCACCAAGCATATTTACTATCAGTCCTTATTACATTTCCTCAGATAACAGTGCAAATATGAGAGGAATCAAGGAGAAGAGGGACTTGGTATGGATAAGAAGGAACAAGACAAGAACAAGAGGCAATAGTCATAAACAAGAAGGAAAGGATAGGGAGAGCTGAGAGAGACAGAGACCAGGAAAGCAGATGGGTTGGGGGAGGAATGAGTCTAGGTATTGTGTGTTTAACCAAGGTCTGGCATGCAACACTCAACAGTGCAGCCTCCCCTGAGAAGGAAAGTGCTATATGCTGAGCACTTACTATGTTGTTTGACATGGTATTAGGTGTTTTATTATACATTATCTTATTTAAACTTTGCAGGAAACTGATGAGATAAGCTTTACTTTATCTCAATTTCATTGATGAGGAAAATTCCGAGAGATTAAGTAATTTGCTTACGGCCACGCAGCTAGTAAATAGCAAAGCTGGATTTAAAGCTGGACCTCCACTACACTACCATATCTTCTGGATAAGTTTTCTAAATGATTGAGATTTAACCCTCTGAGGAATATTCACACATTTAAGGGACATTCACAAATTTATTTTAATCATTTTGTACAGAAACCCTTCTTTCCTTTGTTTGTTAATACAAAATAAATAAGTGAGCCACTTCAAACAGTGGAGAGGGGTATCAAGTAAAAAGTTCCTCCTTGCTCACCATGAATTTCACTTTCCAGAGGTACTGCTATTGATCATTTGGTCTACATCCCTTCACATCTTTTCTTATGCTGTTTCCTTAAAAAATTAATCATATTATGTACATTGATTTGTGACTTTTTCTTCAAAGTAATGATATATTGTATATCAATATATGCAGATCTAATTTTTTTTTTGGTAACTGCATGAACAGTTCACTCTATCAATGAGCCTCTTTTATTTACACATTTACCAAATGATGGACATTTAGGTTGGTTCTGATTTTTAAGTATTACAGGCAATGCTGACATGAGTTACTGAAATTAATATGTTTATATAAGTACATCTTCACATGCATTCTTTTATTCTAGTAGAATATATTTCTCAAAGTGAGCTAAAGGGAATAAGCCCTTTCTATTTGAATGGATACTTCAGGAAAGAAATATATTTTCCCATAAATAGTGAGTGACAGTCCCATGCTTCATCACAACCTATTCAAAAGAGGAAAATATCAATCTTAAAATTTTTTTAAGTCAAATAAATATCCACTCAGGTGGTTTGAACTTAACATCCCTTTGATTACCGGGGGGAGAGGCCAAGACCTGGTTGACAGGCACATGCTCGGAGTTTCCCAAAGTCATTGACCCAGGTTAGTGACTCATGTCTCCATACACTAATCTCAGAGCATATGCAAATTTGGGCACCACCAGAACACACACATTCATTCATTTATTGAGTATCCACTCTGAGCCAGACACTAGTAGCAAATAAGAGAGAAGGGTCTCTGCACTCTTCGAACTTGTGCTCCTGGTAGGAGATTCAATGAAGAACAGGAAAACACACAGACAAAGTAGTTCCTGTCATGGATGAGTTTTACATTATTAATCAGAAACTACAGGAACACTGAATATTAAATCTTACTCCTGTACAATAAGGGACTTAAACAGACACATGTATCCAAATGCTCCTGATAGTTCTTCTTGGTTGTTTCAAATTCTAAATCAAGCCCAAAATCTAAATCATCATCCTTTCATATAAACTTGGGCTTCTCTCATGTTTCCCATCTCCATGAATGGAAAAGACCAAAAACTAGGAAGGAATCATCCTGGTATCTCTTTCTCCTTCACTCTTCATATACAGTCTGATATGATTTGGCTGTGTCCCCATCCAAAGCTCATCTTGAATTGTAGTTCCCATAATCCCTGTATGTCGTGGGAGGGACCAGATGGAGACACTTGATTTTGGGGTGGTTTCTCCCATCCTGTTTCTGTGATAGTGAGTGAATTCTCACAAGATCCAATGGTTTTATAAGGATCTTCCCCCTTCATTGGGCACTCATTTCTCTCTCCTGCCACCATGTGAAGAAGGATATGTTTGCTTCCCCTTCTGCTATGATTATAAGCTTCCTGAGGCCACCCCAGCCCTGCAGATCTGTGAGTCAATTAAATCTCTTTCCCTTATAAATTATGCAACCTCAGGCGGTTCTTTAAAGCAGCGTGAGAAGGGACTAATACACAGTCTATCAGCAGATTGGGTTTATTTAACTCTGAAATATTTCCAGAATCTCTCTCTCTCTCCAATTTCAGTACTATCCTAGCACAAGCTACTATAACGCCCAGCTTCCATACCACCTGTACTTAGCTAGTACTGTACTCATGCCTATACTGGTGCTCCCTGCCAAGTGGATTCCACATTGCTGTTAGTCTCCCAATTCCTCTTCCTTAAAAAGCTCTACCACTATCCATTGCTGTTAGGATAAACACAAAACCTCCTACCATGACCCATGAAGCCATGCACATCTGACCCTACCCACTCCTCTGGCCTTAACTCCACCACTCTTCCTGGGGCTTCCTTCACTCAGTCAAACTAACTCAGTCAATCTCCCCCACACACTAAGCTCCTATCCAGCACTCTTGCACATGCTATTACTTTGGTTTGGATTGATCATGCCTCAGTACTCAAGCATCATCCCTTCAGGGAGGGCGTCCTGACTGAGCAAAATCCATCTACTCAGTGCTCTTGTGGTACCTTGTATCCTTCCTTCCTGGTCTTGTCACAGTTGTACTTCTACATTCACTTGAATCCCCTTTAGACAATAAGCGCCACGGGGGTCAGGGCCATGATTGCTTTTGTTTGCTAGCACAGTGTCTTGCACCTAGTGGACATTAAACATTTGCTTAACAAAAGAACAGATACATTCATGCAAGATAGACTAAATTGCTTGGAACAAATTATAAATGCCCTAAAATTTCAGAAAAATGGTTAACATTAACCATGTCTAGTATGGCCAGACAAAAAGCAAAAAAGAGGGTGTGTGTTGTGGGTACAAGGCTTCCAAAGTCATGAGCCCAGAATTAGTTGGCCTTGAATTTCAAAGAG